CTTCGATCAGAAGAACTTAGAACATACATTAGGGAAATCATCAAACTAAATCACAAAACAAGCACTAACTTGAAATCCTGAAGAGCAACAGAAAAGAGAAAGACTAAGGAACACACTATGTCAGGAATCAGAAGCAGACATAAAAACAGTGAATGGCAACTGGAAAGAACTAGAAATGATTGTCCAAAATAGAGTTAAATGGAGAATCCTGATGGGTGACCTGTGTTCCTCCATGAGAAGTAACAAGAGTAAATAAGTAAGTGTTAGGGATGAAAGATCCCCCAAAACTCACATTTTGTAATTTTATCTTATCAATTAAATGTTTAAACATTTGAATGGTAGTCAATTGACGAACTTATCAATTAAATGTTTAAAGATTTCCATGACAATATCGATTATACGCTTGATTTGTGTTCCTGATTGACCTGGTATCTGTTGGTTGCTTGTAGAATAGACTTCCTACGTCTTATTAAAACTTCTTGATCGAGTTAGCTGAGTCGTGGACAACAGATCAGAATAGCCTATCGAGTCTCTGAATCCAACGAAACTTCGTTCCGTTCCGAGTAAGACGAATCAGTAGTAGCATTTAAGCTTAACGAAGCTAACAGTAAGTGTTCTACTTAGTTACAACCAAATGAATATATGAATAAGAAATTATATTTTAAAATAAAATAAAATATGAAATTGTAGCAAATTAAAATCTGATAAGGAACATTTTAATTTGGTTCTTCCTGTTGAACAATATGAGAGAGGGATTTGATGACTAGTTCAAGGTTACTTTTTACCTTAACTACTCAGTATATACTTCATTACTGCCAATCTTCATCCTTCTCTCCCTATTATATATATATGTAAGATCATTCACTTGAATCTTCCCATTGATGTTTAGGACTACAATTGAATAGTCTCTTATATGCATATGTGTATACTGTGTGTATTGACTTGATATTGCCTTAATTCACAAGTATTATGATCAAAGATGGATAGTGGAAAGATCCAAGTAAAACAATATTAAGGGAATATAAACTTCACTCCATTGCATAAGCTAGTGGCTATCAGGATTCAGTAACTAAGTGGATAACACAATAGTATTTGAAACAAATGGTACTTGGTTGTGGTCTTGAAGTGGATATCAACTCTGAGATGCAGATACATCCAGCTGACAAGTCCCAAATAGGGTGGAACGCGCATCCTTGATTCCATTGCTAGCCACTATACATCTTTGCTTAGAATGCATGTGAAATATGGTAATATCGACACAATCCGTACAGTATGTATATATGCCAATAAGAAACTGATAATTGCAGTCCTAAACATCAATGGGAAGATTTAAGTCAACAATACCAAGTGAATTTAATGTGACGAAACTGCTCATTACTCTTTATATAGTCTTTTATATCCTAGTAAAGATTAAATTAGGGGTAACTTCTGAGAACTATTTATGGACTAATATTATACATATATTCTTATTGTATAACTGGTAAGAAACTAAACTCTATGTATTTATATTTCTTTTATTATAAGCTTTCATTTGATCTATTGGTTACTGTCATATGATTAACTATTCTCAAGTTATTCTCAATCTATTAGTCACAGTCTTTCACGATTACAGCCACTTCTTAACTTTATCTTGTACAAATGTTATTTCCTATTTTGTGGTGTGATGTGGTCTGTTTGGCTGGTCGATACACCAAATAAGTTTGAAATATAGGATTTGTAGAATAGAAGCTGTTACTGGCGTTCTAAACTGAATTAGATGGATAAGAAGAGAAACTACTATTTCAATGAATTAATAAGAACTCTAGACTATTTGTACTGGTTTATGTGTCATTGGTCCGGTGACTTTAATTGACGATCGTGTCGTGTGATATACTATATAGGGCACAAGGGTCACAAATTATAACATAATCATTTAGATGAATGTTCCAAACATAACCAAAATACTAATAATCAGACGAAGAAGAATAGGGATATGAAGTGTATATTCACCATGCGAATATTCATAAATCTAAACTTAGGTTGTATGGAACTGATAAGAAATCGTGAAATAGGTGTGTATGTGAAAAGTTCGAAACCCGCATGCCTTTTATAGTTAAGCAGTTTTCATTGTCCTTTTTTATGTAACATTAAGTGTAAATTTCAATATGTAATAACATAAGATGTAAATAGTTATGGGTCGATCTAAGTTAGACCATCATGGAAAACCTGAAGGCACTAGACGGCCGTTTCGTCCTATAATGGGACTCCTCAGCAATGTGCATCCACGACTCGAAATCGGCACCTTCAGTCTGGCGCGCGAACGTTTAACCTCTAGACAACTGGTCCAGGACCTAACGGTGTTAATGTTTAAATTCAACCAACGATATTGAGCGACCATCGACCATTGTCTTCAGTAACTGCCTCACAACAGACACGGTCGGACTTCACTGACCAAGGCTTCTCACTAGAACTTCATGGAATCCAGCTTTAAGCTAGTCATTAGTGACCACATGATAATTATCAGTATAGGGTTGCGGAGATTGTTTAGTTTAGATTGATATCATGGATAGATCAATGTTGGCAACTTTCGTTGTTGTTCACGTTTTTGTTCTGTTTAAATTGACAGGGTACAAATGCAACTAAGTACCAATTATTAGTATTCTATACTGCATGCTCAGTGAAAACAAAGTGACCTGGATCATGAAGTTGTATGCATTAATAATAATAACAATAATAATAATATGTATGCTGGGAAGTAGTCTTATAATTTTATAAACGAGTTTCCGACTTCCCAAATGAAAAAAATAACGAAATGATTGATGGTAAGGAGTGTAGTCAAGTGACGACTTGTTACAAAACTGATTCACTGAAGTAAATTCTTTGAATGATTTGCGATGAAACAACAACACTACTAGTCATGAAAAAAAAATAACGCGACTGTAGCTCCTACGTAGACGTGGAAGTCGTGTTTGCCTGTTTCAGTGATTCATTCGAGCAGAATTTGCTGGAACATATGTTTCTTTAAATCATACCATGCCATGTAGGTCAGTTGGAGAACAGTGAGATCAAAAGCAGCAACTTGAGACCCGAGGGCGAAGTTGTGCCGCCGAATCTCGACAGGTGTGACAGTAGTAGGGTGTTCCATCGAACAACCAGTATCTGCAGTGGTGCTGGGAGAAATTAGAAAAGGTCGACTGTAAAAATGTCAATCCACACATCACCCACAGATTTCTGTCCCCATAAAAAGACTGTGAGCGACCGGCCTCTATTAGTTGTCCCTTGAGCTTTGTGGTCACGCTCCCAGGTCGCTAAGACTACCATTAAATTAGCTTTCTTTTTAGGTCCTAGCCTCCTAAAACCACGCTCTTGACAACATTTTGGAGGTTTTAATGTTCGAACCTTGAGTAGGATAGGAAAACGGGCTTCTTTAATTAGGACTTTAAAGTCTCACGACATCGATGTATACTGCATCTCCGAAACGAGCATACAGGTTTCAAGTATATTCATTCATTTGACATCATTTTGGCAATATTAATGACTGCCAAGATTTACCCTTTATATATCGGGAGACCCCACTGCTACTTCTCGCAGCCTCGTTACTGTTGATATAGCACTAATTTTTGAGATATAACAGTCTTTTTTTCGATTGAATGCCTGTAGACAGTTACATATGACCTGTTCGACTAAACGGAACAATATGAACTCGAAAAGTTAGGGACACACGACCTTGACTTCTCGTTATCTCGACCTACACTCTCATTGATTGCAGATCGGACTAAGTTAAAGATGGATTCTATAGAAAGCCACCCAACCTCCTTCAAAAAGTTAAACTCTCTGGTGTAGTAATAGTGGCAGGTGATTTTAATGCTTAATTAGGTAAACTAAACCAAACCAAATTGACTTTGGCCGGTGTTGCGGTTCAGCAAACAGATAATAGTGACCGTCTGTTATAACATGAAATGATATTTTATTCCGTATAACATACGATATTGTTGTATTAAGTTGACATGAACTATACTTAGCATGTGATTTGCTATAACTAAGTATTTTTTATATATGTGATTTCATCATAATTATTAATTAAAGTGTGTGTACAATCAATATATAAGTGAGTGTACTTTCGACTGGAGTTGTCGTCGACACTGTCTGGAATAACATTCCTTTCATTAGTCTTCTGTCTTCTCATTGCGACTTGGAAGGGTTCTAGCGTTCTAGTGCTCAAGTTATACGCGGTATATCAAGAATATAAGCTCTAGATATAACACAAATATGCTCAGATAACCATTTATTTCTGGCTAACACTAACTTTAATCATAAGGAGAAAAACTATCTAACGTGGCGACCTCCACAATCGAATAATCGATAGATTCAAATAGACCATATTGCTGTTAACCATCGTTAGAGGGGGCTCGATTGAAAACTGTTATTCATTCTGTAGCACTTGTTTTGACTCAGACAATGCACTAGTTAAAGTATTTGTCAATGTCCTACTGGACGTAGAAACACCACATAAAAATACTGTTACGAGTCCAACCAGCAGATCGCACGGTGAAATGAATAGAAATGTTTCATAGAAACTTTTGATTATAAATGCCTTCTATAACTCATTAAACACTTGAATTGGATTATGAGAATAAGCGTAATTTATGGTTGAATAATTAACTATCAGACAGGGGTTTTGCAGAAATTATATTAATTTAATAGTTGAGTTTATGAGTCAATTGAAGCTAGTACACCATGGAAAACCTGGAAGCACTAGACGACCGTTTCGTCCTAGTGTGGGACTCCTCAGCAGTGCGCATCCACGATCCCGCTCCTCGCGAGATTCGAGACTGCTTGGTCCTGGGTTCGAATCTCGCGAGGAGCGGGATCGTGGATGCGCACTGCTGAGGAGTCCCATACTAGGACGAAACGGCCGTCCAGTACTTCCAGGTTTTCCATGATGGTCTAGCTTCAATGGATTCATGATTTCAACCAGTGATATTACCTATTAATTTACACAAATAAAAAGATCACCTTTTAAACAGTAAGCGATAGACAACAAACTAAACTTATTTATTTGTAAAAAATATATATATACAAACAAATAAACAAACATTTGTTTACCTGCTTGTCATAATGATCTAATACCATACCATAAGAATAAGAATAATAGTAGTAGTAATCTAAAGTTAAAACATACCAAAAAAAAAACAAAAGAAAAAAATGTGAGAGAAAAAAAACGAAGCATCATTCCACGTGAGAGAAAATAAGACACTATCAAAAAGAGAAAAAAAGAAAAAGTAGAAAGAAAGAAAGAAAAATAACAAGTGAAACATATAAACAAGTAAATATTTTAGAAATCTGAACTAAAAATTAAAAAAAAAACACAATGAAGGTATTCACTCTTCTCTCTCTCTCTCTCTCTGTATACATATTCTTTTCTATTATTTTCTTTTGTTTGTTTTTTTCTTTCTTTTTTCTTTTTGTCAGATTCATAGTATGTCAGAAAAGAACAAACAAACAAACAAACAAATCTAATCTAATCTAATTCAATGTGAGAAATAAACAAACAAACAAAAAATAATCATAATACAGTAACAAAATAAAACAAAACAAGATTGTATCATTAATAGTAATAATAATAATAATGTAATTAAATAACAGTAGAAAATTATGTAATCAATGTTACTATCAAAAAAAAATTTTTTTCTTTTTAAAAAAACAAACAAACAAACAAACAGATAGATAGATAGATATGATTCTGTTCACACACACACACAAGCCCTCACACACTCACACACACATTCACATAATCACTTAATGATTTCACTTAAAAAAAACATCTTGATTTTTAAAAAAAATTGATAAATGATGAATAGAATGTAAATGATATTTAGGTAGTTGAGATTTGATTTTTATCAAGTATATTAAATGATTTTATTTCACATGTTGATGGGTATGATGATGATGATGGGGGTGGGGAGGGGGTGATGATGATGGAGATGGAGACGGTGAAAGAGTACAAAAACAAAACAATACATCAACAGAATTGTTCTATTAGATTTTACGTAAATCTATGCATAAACACAAGTATATCTATAAACATTTACCATCCCTTATTACACATACACACACACACTCACAAACACACATACACATATCGATTTGGATTATTTTATTGCATAATTTTGAGCACTTGGGAAATTGTTCATTCTAATATTTAAAAGAATAAAAGAAAATTAAAAAAAAAAAGAAAAAAGAAATGAAAAGAAATGAAATGAGAGTATAGGATGATTCAAGTTTCATTGAATTCATTATGTTGAACATTTAGATCTTCATTAATTGCTTTTGTTAAAAGTTTATTCATCTAGATGGAAAAGAAAGTAAAGTAAAGGCAAGAAAACGAAATAAGAAATTATACAATATACGTATAAGCATATATATATATATATATATGTATATGTAGTGCGAAATTCTAATTAAAAATCTTAATGAAGATTCTTCTAAAGGTAAACTTAATTCATTTCATTAATTTTGATTTCAGATGAAATAGTTAAGAAGAAAGTCATTAATGTTAATTAAACAATGATTAGAAACTAAGAAACGGTGAATAGTTATTTTGTCCTAGTGTAAAAATAGCATTGCCCCGCCCCCTCAAATGCTCTGGTACAGCCGAGAGTGGAGAAAGTCAACCCTCACTCTGACACTCTCTTTCCCTCGAAATACTTTCACATGACCACCTCCATACAACCACTGCTAATGACGTCCTACTGACTGCCTTCTCTCATCAACGGTATTGTTTACGAAATTGAGAGGACGAAAAACAAATTTTTGGAGCCTTAACCGGTTTGGTGGATATGGAGGATACACCTAGGGGAGTTGGAAAACCATGATTCCAAACCAATATTGCGCATAGGCTCCAGGATCCTGAGGGAAATAATGGAGTATGAACCAACTGTTAGTCACCAGGGCAATATCCAAGCCCTCACATAAATCGAATCATTTATGTGGAGCATATCTATTTAGTACCTTCTTGTACATTATAGTGTATAATTTTTATGCTTAGAAATACTAAGCAAAGTAAAGAGGTCATATTGTACCAGGAAAGCAATCATCTAATAGTCTCAAATACATAAAAGGTATATTTTAAAAATGTAATTTTCAAAGTTCTTATTAGATTCATAATATCTTACAGTAAGTTACTGAATACCATTTATTTTTTTATTTATTTCAACACATAATCATAGGTACAAGGAAGCACCAAATAGAAATGTGCCACGTAAATCATTCGATTTGTGTGAGGGCTGGGATACTGCCCACGTGCCCTAACCGAAGCAGGTGGTTTCCTTGGGGGACCACACTCCGAGCATTTGACCTAAAGATCTCATTCACAAGGAAGTCTAGCAACGGCAGATGACGCACTTCCATGACAACCGGTGACCAACGATTGGTGCATACACCATTTGTTCTTTCAGGATCCTTGAGCAGACCAAATCCCCCAAATTGCCCCTCCGTATCCACCAACCCGATTAAAGCGCCGGAAATGAGTTTTTTATTCTCTCAATTTCGTAGGCAACATCGTCGATGAGAGAAGGCAGTGGGTAGGACTTCTCTGGTAGTGGTTGTATGCACGTGGTCATGTGAGAGCATTTCGAGAGGGAGATTTGACTCTTTCCACTCACGGCCGTTACTTACTTACGCCTGTTGCTCCTCGTGGAGGAGCATAGGTCAACCACATGCACTGTCCTTCTAACCCTGCCCTGGGCAATCCTTTCCAGTTGTTATTCATCATATCTGATTCTATTTCCCGACGTAATGTGTTCTTTGGCCTTCCTCTTTTCCGCTTCCCTTTAGAATTCCAAGTTGGGGCTTGCCTCGTGATTCAGTTTGGTGATTTGAGTAATGTATGTCCTATCCATTTCCATCGTCTTTTCCTAATTTCCTCTTTAGCTGGGAGCTACTTTGTTCTCTCCCACAGAAGGCTGTTGCTGATGGCATCCGGTCAATAGATGTTGAGTATCTTGCAAAGACAACTATTTATAAACACTTGTATCTTCTTGATGATGGTTGTAGTAGTTCTCTAAATTTCAGCTCCGTACAGTAGGACTGTCTTGACGTTCGTATTGAAGATTCTGACTTTGATATTGGTTGACAGTTGTTTTGAATTCCATATGTTCTTCAACTGTAGGAATTTGGCCCTTGCTTTACTAATCATCGCCTTTACCTCTGCATGTGATCCTCCTTGTTCATCGATGATGCTTCCCAGGTACGTGCAGGATTCCACATCTTTCAGACTTTCGCCATTAAGTGTGACTGAATTAGTGTTCTTGGTGTTGTATTTGAGGATCTTGGTTTTTCCTATGTGTACGTGGAGGCCCACTGATGCAAAAGCTGCTGCTACACTAGTTGTCTTCAGCTTCATTTGTTCGTATGTATGGGATCGAAGGGCTAGGTCATCTACGAAGTCTAAATCGTCTAATCGGTTCTAAGCTGTTCATTATATTCCGTGTTTCCCCTCATATGTCATGGTCTTCATAATCCAGCCGATCATCAGAAGAAAGAGGAAGAGGTAGAGTAGACAGACTTGTCTGACTCCGTTGTCCTTATTTGGAATGCATCTATTAGCTGTTCTCTATGCACGACTTTGCACTATAGTCCGTACTCTCGCCCGTAACAGAACATTTTGGTCCATGACTATGTACTATCATCTTAAACACATTTAAACTAAGTTTTCAAACAAAAAAAGCATATAGACCGTAAGTGTCAAAATTTGATTGAAACAACAATAACAACAACAATAGTAGTAGTAGTAGTAGTAGTTGAATGTTGTTTTAAGTTTACAAAAAAAAATGATTCCGATATCAGCTGATCAGTTTAAAAAAGAAAAAAGAATTAATATTCAACTATTCAATAGAGATTCATTGTAAATTAATGTTGTAATCTAGTTTTATCTAGATCATTTAGAAATATATGTAAAACAATCATAAGTGTAATATGTGAATTCAACAATACACTTGATGTGATCTAGATCTTCTAAATATTGATTATTATTTTTTGTTGTTGAAAAAAATCAATAAAATGTAGTTTTATATTTTTAATATACTAAAAGATTCATTTCATTCATTAAGTAAAGGTAACTGTGATTGCATGAAAGGAAGAATAGCTGAAGCATTTTAGTAACATAAATGTTTGCTGATATTCTGTTTATTCATTACTTAATAAACAGTATTCCTTCGAAGTAAAGACCGGTGTCAGGCAAAGTTGCTTACTCTCACTCTTTCTCTTTCTCTTAGTGATCGACTGGATCATGAAGACGTCAACATCTGAAGGGAAGCATTGGATACAATGAACATCTAGGATGCAGTTGGATGATCTAGACTTCGAAGACGATCTGGCTCTTCTATCACAAATGCAACAACAAATGCAGGAGAAGACGACTAGTGTAACAGCAGCCTCAGCAACAATAGGTCTCAATATACACAAAGGAAAAAGCAAGATTCTCCGATACAACACATCATGCAAAAATCCAATCAAAATTGACGGAGAAGATTCCCAAGATGTAAAAACCTTTACATATTTGGGCGACATCATTGATGAACACGGTGCATATGATGCAGATATGAAGGCGCGGATCAGCAAAACAAAAGCAGCATATTTACAAGCGAAGAACATCTGGAACTCAAAACAATTGACAACTAACACCAAAGTCAGAATTTTCAATACAAATGTCAAGACAGCTCTACTGTATGGAGCCGAAACCTCGGAAACCACGAAATTCATCATCCAGAAGATACAGGTGTTTATTAACAGTTGTCTACGCAAAATACTTCGGATCCGTTGGTCGGACACTATAAGCAACAGCCTACTATGAGAGAGAACAAATCAGATTCTAGTGGAGGAAGAAATCAGGAAGAAGCACTGGAAGTGGATAGGATACACATTAAGAAAAGTACCCAAATGTATCACAAGACAAGCCCTCACATGGAATCCTCAAGGTCGAAGGAGGCGAGGAGGACCAAAGAACACATTACGCTCGGAAATGGAGATAGACATGAGAAAAATGAACAGATATGAAAGGGATGAATAAGAACTGGAAAGAGCTGGAAAGGATTGCCCAGGACAGGGTTGGATGGAGAATGCTGATGAGCAGCCTATGCTCCTTCGTGAGGCGAAACAGGCATAAGTATGTAAGTAAGTTAGTTAGTTACTTAACAATCATACAATAAGAATATATGTCTAGGATTAGTAACTAAACTATGTATATTCATATTGCTCTTAGTATAAGATTCATTTTAATCTATAAATTATTATTATAAGATTTATCATTCTTGAGTTATGCCCAATCTGTCAATTACAGTTACTTTTGGCTGTTTCTTATTTTATGGTACGATGTAGTCTATCTGGTTGGGTATATAAACTCAATATGTTTAAAATGCATGATTCATATCACAGAGGTTTAGGTTAATGTTCTGTACTTGACAAGTAGAGCTAAGCGGGAAGTAGAACCGATAAGTACTCTAAACTGCTTGTACTTATTTTTTATGCGTCATTAATCCGGTCAATAAACCATTGTTCTTTAATTGACAGTATTATTACATTATACATTGATAGGGGTAACAGGGCAAGAAACAAAGAAAATAGAGATAGATATATTATGATACATTAAAACTTTATAAAATGTTCTTTAAAAAGAAAAAGTAATGTATAGCTTATATTTTATGTAAGTCATTATATAGAAGACAAATTAAACAGAAATATATATTCAAACAAAACTAGATCATTATTCAAGATATTATACAGTCAATTGAACAATTTCATCATGGAATCCAATCAATATATCATACAATTGAAGGAGAAACAAAGATCTATTTCAAGACTACTTATCAGATATAAACAGTTTAAAACAATGAGACTATAATTTATGGACGAGTTTTGAGCAATGCTAGACTGACCTTAAGAGTGTCCATTGAATAATGAAGACCAATTGAAAGTTATAAATCAGTGTGTGGAATTAGAATTATGATTTATAATCGATGGTTAGGGTTAAGAATTCGATTTACGATATTCATTACGAACTAACATCAGTTATAATACTAAAATTCTATTTAAGCAAATGAATGAATGAATTTCGCTCTAAAATCCGACACCTATTATTTTATACGTGATTGATTCATCTATAAATTATAGTCTTGCCGTCTAAAACTACAAGGGGGAGTATTATTATTGGTTATAAATAGAAGTTGAACATAGTGAAGTTGAGATAAATCAATGTTGGAAATGGAATCAAACATCATACATAAGAATAAAATATAAAATATAGGATGAAACATAGTTCTATGGTTCTATTGCTTTCATTATATTATGTTCAATGTTCGTTATAACATTCAATTGTAGATCAATACATGTCCGATATTACCTGTAGTTTTATCTATGATGTATTAAATATATTGGAAAGACAAAGAAAAGGGTATCTCTCAGGTGATCTGAATCAGTACTTAAGAATCTATTTTTGTAAGTAAATGTTTTTACCATTCCAATTACCATACATTTGATGAACCTATCTGATAAATAATGAATATAAATAGTTTATAGAATATATTAATTCACAAATAACATTAGTCTTACTCTGATTGTTAACAAATGCATTCAACTTGATGTATATGTATAGAAAGTAATTATGATAAGTTTTTCATTACCATAGTGATCATGACCATTAATTCAATAATCTTTTCAATTGACCATTCTTTTCTGATTTTCTCACTTTCTTTATCTCTTATGTAATTATATTGATGTTCATATCATAGTTTTATTATGGTTCTCAACATCATACTTAATTATATTTTGTATGATTTCTAAGACCAAAGGCTCTAGGTTCGAATCCCGTGAGCGGAATCGTGGGTGGGCATTACTAAGAAGTTTTAAAATAGAATGAAACGGCCGTCTAGTACTTTCAGAATTTTAATGATGGTCTAACATTAATCAATAAAAAAAACTTGATAATCTCCACAACATCATAATGAAACATTCATTTTATCACAAATTCACTAACTAAAGTATCAAATGGGTTTTGTGGATAGTATAGTAATTTCAATGGTTAAGCTCATGAGTTAGTTGAAGCCAGACCAGCATGGAAAACCTGAAAGCACTAGACAGCCGTTTCGTCCAACTGTGGGACTCCTCAGCAGTGCGCATCCACGACCTCGTCCCCTGCGAGATGTATGTTACAAAATTGTTTATAATTACGTAATAAATTGTAATTTAAACCTGTTTGAAATTGATAAGAAGCTTTGAAGTAGAAAATAATAAAGTCATCTTATTATGTAAGTGTCATTTTTCATTCGGTTTAAAATGAAGAATTCAAGAAACACTTTCATACATGCACATACTGTTATAACTTGTGACCTGCGTGTCCTGTTTATTGTATAACGTAACAACACCGCTAATTAGAGAACAGTGACTTATCGATCGAACCAATGACGCATAAATCCCGTACGAGCAGTCTATAGTATTTATCGGTTCTGCTTCCTGCCTAGCCTTGCTTGTTAGAGTCCAGAACGCCAATCTCAGTCTCTGTGATATGAATCATTATATTTCAAACATACTGAGTTTAGATAACAATTGAACAGACCACAACGTAGCATAAAATAGAAACATTTATACAAGATTTGGACAAGTGACAAATAGACAAGCCATAATTCAAGAATGGTAAAACGTATGATAATGGTTCATAGGTCAAAATATAGCTTATAATAAGAGGAATATGAATATGCATAGTTTAGCTACTTAACAATTATACGATAAAAATATACGCATAGTATTGGTCCATAAATGGATCCTAAAAATTACCATTCATTATGCTGATCGGGACCTAACACATATGCATAGACACACACAAACGAATAAATAAATACACTTAGTAAATGAGACATAATTAGAAATGAAGATAACAGAGCACACAATGTCTATAAAGCGTTTACAAAACATAATGTAAACATTATAGCTGAGATAAAGAGAAAATAAAGCACACACCTACCGGGAACATTTTGTGTATCAGACTTCTTCTAAAGTGTTAAAATTAATATTACACTTTAATGCAATTGAAAATTGTCTACATGAATATTTTAGCCTTTTGTAATATGAATACCTTCTCCCCTACCTTTCATCGGTGTTTAAGAGGGAACAGGAGTAATCATTAACATATAATCCAGTATCCGATTGATCAATTTGATTCATGTTAGACTATTGGATTTTGTTTTATCAACCAGTTATTGATCAACTGGTGTAACTCACTTGTATTTTAAAATACAGCCTAAATACTAAAGAAGATGACAATATGAGAACGATTTCTATTTACGTTTTGGCGATATATCTGTCAACCTTACCAAGTAGAAATATTTATAGATTAAAGGAAGTTTTGTGAAGAATGTTTTAGTGTTTAGATGATACTCACCCGGGGAATCCCCCCCTATGATTTTATTAGGTTTTAAATTTAGGACCTTCAGGTCTCGAAGCAAACGCTTAACCTTCGAAACTACTAATTTAGCTTGGGAAAAATGAAGTTTGAACTGTGTCAATATGGTTATCGCTAAAGAGTCTTGTATTATGACGAAACAGTTACTAAGTTTATTGTATAACTATCTCATTTATTGTTTCTGTGATAGTTTGCATTTATAGAAATAAATGTTACAATAATAGTGTGAATGATTAAATATTTAGAATATGATTCAAGAAGACATGATGAAACAATATGTATGACAGAATACTAGGACTCAATTTATAGAGAAAGATATGTATAGAGAGAATTCATTCGTAACCGCGAGACTAACTCGGCATCATGTCACGCAACAACTCCAACCACGGACTGTGGTTACCATTCTGAGATCAACCAGTTAATCTACATCTACCAACATAGCTCAAGGCAACAGTTAATAACTACATGTATTGATACAACTCTTTGGTTTAATCGCTCCTAATTTTCTTACATTGTACTTTTACACTAGTTAACATAAGGCGCCGAAGTAGGTTTTGGTTAGGTATACATCATGCTTATCCCAACCATCTCAGTTAATATACATTCACTATCTCATTAACAAATTTCATATGGTTTCATAATACCCTATGCCTAACTTCAACGTTGCTCCCCCCGTTTGTTCTACCATATAAAGCACAACCGTGAAGAAACCTATGATCAGGGACTTGGAGCTTATATATATGTTCTATTTTGACCACTCATATTTATTAACCACCAAGAAATACAAAGCTGACTGCTAAGCCGTACATTGACATATCGTCTACTTTACAACTAACATAAGTTGCGAGAGTTCTTATGAAATTTCTGAATCATTATCTAACTGTTCATTACTTATCTAACTAAGATGTTTATTGTTTAACCTATAAAAGCTTGATTTTCAGTTATATTTTAATACCGAAATGGGGATTTGTGGAGATTGTAGTAATTTTGTTAGTTGAATTTATAAGTCAATCTAAGCTAGACCATTACACGCGGAACTCGAACCATGGATGGGCACTGTTGAGGAGTCCCATATTAGGACGAAACGGTCGTTCAGTACTGTCAGGTTATCAATGATGGTCTAACTTAGATCAACAGTCAGTCAACTACAACGTAGGACCCCAGGCACATAGATGCATTGGTCTAAGTTGCCATACCTCATTAGCACAGCAAGATGAACACAGAATTCATAGACGTAATTACTTCAACGACAGTAACACATAAAAGAAAGATTGTATATAAGGATATAATACAGGAAGAAAGAATTAGTTCATAGAAACAAAAAGTATGAAACGATTTTATTCTCTTAGATTAAAGGGAGATAGATAGTGTATGCACCTCCATCATTGTGATCGATTCTGAGCCATGTCACCAAGAGTTCCCAACCATTGGTTATAATAGTTACACGGATCCCAACCACATAGGCTGTATCTAACAACATGGCCCTCATACATTGAACAGGTATTCACATCAACTTTACTTAGATGAATTCATGAATTCAACTTTATTTTAATAATTAGTAATATCTAAATTAGACATAAAAAAAATTATTTCTAAACTAAACAAAACATAATATGTAATTACAATTGAATGAACTTACACGTTCATGTGCTTGTTGACGGTAAAGATTCTCTTTAATTAATACTGTCAAATAAAATTCATCAAAGATTGAATCCATAAAACATGTGATAAAAGAATGCAAGAATGTATTGTATATGTTGAAATGAATTAGATCAGACAACTACAACCATCACAAAAACCACCAGCACCACCACCATCACCACTACAACAAAATCTTAATATCTATGTAGTTACGTTAACATTTATCATTTCTATAATCAATTACATAATGAGGATAACTAGAAATTACTAATATTGATATAGATGTACTATTATAATTGCGCAATAAGATAATGTCTACGGTTTAATGTAATGAAATGAGACTATTATATTGATGTAAGGAAGAAAAATAAGATTGTAGAAGAAGATATATATACTTTCTTTAATTATAGATTTGTTTCATTCTTAACAATGGAGATTGTATAAACAACCACTGGAAGGTAAGAAACTCTGGAGAGATGTTTCGGGGCATTATGCCCCTAAAATGCCCTGGTACGCCGAGAGCAAGGAGAGTCAATTCTCTCTCTCTCTCTCTCGAAATGCTCTCACACAGCCACGCGTATATAACCACTACCACAGAAGGTCTACTCACTGCGTTCTCTCATCGACGGTGTTGTTTACAAAATTGAGAGGACGAAAAATGAATGTCAGGTGCTTTAATCGGGTTAGTGGACACAGAGAGTACACCAAGGGGAGTTAGAAAATCCTGATTCCAAACCAATGGTGTACATTGGCTCCAGGATCCTGAAGGAACAAATGGCGTATGAATCTATTGTTGGTCACCGGTAACCATGGGAGTACATCTCCTGACGTTGCTCCACTGCCTTGTGAAGAAGACCCTTGGGTTACAGGCTCGGAATGTCGCTCCCTAAGAAAACCACGATGTCCCGTTTGGTCACCCGGTCAGTGACGTGTGGGCGAGAATGATCATGACTGGTTGTCTGCTTAGTCAGACATGTAGACAGTCTGACAGGTGTCAGATAAGTTATATATTCCCTTATCCTTATTGTTGTGACACATACACATACACTTATTATTGATTGTTCATTGTTGTGGATTGTGTCGGTCTTGGGTGTGAAAAAATATTTACGTTCTAGACAGGCTAATTACGTGTTCTTGATCTGAGTCGTATTGAAGTTCTGTAGAATAGACAATGGGTGGGATCTTGTGTAGATAATCGTTCAAGACAAAGTAAAATACCGAGCGTTATAACAGTTAGTATTCCAGCTCTCACACAAATCGAATGATTTGTATGGCGCATGTCTATTGGGTGCTTCGTTGTACCAATGTTTATGTGTTTAAATAAATAATAAATAAATGCGACTCGATAGAAGTGAGTATTTACAACCCCGTCAGGAACTGAATACAGGATTTTCAGGTTTCATTGGTGAGAATTCAACAGGGGAATTACTGAGTTAAAAGTCAACTGATTAACTTTCCAAACTCAGTCAATTTAAGAAGATACATGATCATTATTCATTGCCATTAACGACATTTGTCTAACTCTCAAATATCAATTGTCATAGATTCTCACTGTAAATAACCTCTCAAAATAATCAACAGTCAGTAATATCCCAGAGTGTTTAAAGTTAGATATCCAGATTTTTGAATTCTGGCTCAGAAGACGCGGTTCAAATATAAGAACACATATATCCTATGTTGTACTAATAGCCACAATCCATTTATTCTACACAGTATGTTGGATTATATTAATCAATATTACAGACAGTATTTAGATCACTAATCTAAGATCCATTCAAATGGACGATAATTTTTGTTGAGAAATTAAGAAATGTCATTCTAAATCGGTCAGTTTTAGGAATATTCTGAGATTGTGTAACAGTAAGAAGACGTCGAACTCATGGTACATCAGTTTTCATGGTATTCATCAAGTAATTATGATTCATTCAAACAAAGCATTCAAGAGCAGGTTATGTTGAATGTAGTTATAGCTAGAATAAATATCTCAATGACTAATTATTGGCAGCAAAACTATTTCATCAGATGTAGAGTGTTGATATCATATTATGTAATGGATCTAATAGCAAAATTCCGTTGATCTCTTTTTATCAGTTAGCTCCTTATTACCACATTCATTCTAAAGAAAACTGACCAACATTAAAGACTAGACATACAAGAAATTCTTCACTATTTAGTGATTAATCGACAGAAATTTATTGAAGTACTGTAGGAGACCATTCGAGGCCTAAAGAGTTCATTGATAATATCATGGACTATGAAAATGGGTGTCAAAGGCTAGAATCTCATAAGAAGTATCGATTCTTTAGAGATCGCGCGTATACACTTCTAAATTCATAATTGGTCTTCATAAATATTAGCTTATGTAATTTGAAAGATTTATTTCAATTAAAATACCCTACTCAATCAGTTTCAAATTTACGATTCCATATTATTTCTATTTCAACAGTCTAACTAAACAGAATACATAATGACTATATTGTATCACTGGGCATCGCTAGCTTTGTAGTACATTATTGACTAGTGAAAAGAGTAGGTTGAAAAAAACTGATGAGGACTTGATATGGGGGCTTGCGTGGGTGGCGAGTGTCATCGTAAGAGGAATCGCTGACTTGATGTTTAAAATTGATGTTCGAGGTAAATGTCTGACGCGACATGTAAACTACATTCGTGATAGACGATTAAATTCGGATAAGGAACACTTTAGCTTGAACTGGGTATTAGATCAGTTAATTGATTCAGTCATTATGAAGCGACACGATCAGCGCAGAATCGATGGTCAGACTCCAAGAAGATCATCAAGAAGACAACTTTCTCCTCGATTCCTTCAATTAAATCCAAGGAGCAGGACTTATTTTTCAGGAGGGAAAGGTGATATGGTAAGCTAATCAAAAGTAGGCAATCGATCGATGACAATCAAAAGCGACCTGAAGGACAAGTCCATTTGATTGTGTATTTTATTCGGTAGCCCAACATACTTTCTCGTCCACTATTATTTCTTGCTCAAGTAGTCAGGCAGGGGGTTAGTGTGTAGCACATGTATCGGTATTATGTATCAGTATCGAATTCCCGACACCGCCAATTATAACAAAACTAAACAAAGAACTATGATCAATTCATAAAGTTACTGACTATTAGTATAAACAATATTGTTAATGTAGCGAATATCTAGTTGGGAATAGTACTGTAATTGTGATCAATCTTTGATCAGAGTTAATGTGTTCAACCTTCATCATCTAGATGTCTAGATTTGACAATTTTACATAATATTTATGCTATAAATTTATTTTCGCATTTTGACTATTAAACATAGAAGCACTGAACGGCCGTTTCGTCCTATTGTGGGACTCTTTGGTATTGCTTATCCAAGATCTCGCCTAGCGAGATTCGCGAACCCAGGACCTATCGGTCACGCGCATGAACGATTAACCTCTAGACCACTAAGTCGACATACAATGGTGTCAATCTCTAACTTCAAATAATCCACGAAATTGAGCGACATGAAATAACTGTTCCCTAGGCTTTCTGTTTTAATACTAATACATTTTTACATATTCCACTATATAAACATACCTGTCATTATTGTTCCAATTAATGTTAATCCTGTAAGGAATAAATTTCCAGGCAAAACTCCATAATTTGTTCTTAATGGTGTTGCAACATGAATCAGTATAAGGCCAAATATCTGACGTTATGTTTAGGAGAGAAAATAAAACAATACACAAACAGAATATATATATATATATATATGTACATAGAGATGATTACGTAATAAGTTCTGTAATACAACTATACTATATTTACAATAACAGGTAATTTTGTTAGTCATGGGATATTTATCGAAGTAAATGTATTTGATATGTATGTATTTTGAACAACATAGATAGCCACAAGAATCTTGTATACAAGTCAAGAGGTAGACAGTATTCGAACTTGTTATCCAGTTGTTAAACACTTAATGCATCAAACCATTTACCAACTATTTATACTGTTAAAAATATTAAAAAAAATACATTGATAAATTTCACTATCATGATAAAATATGATACATAATGAAATGTAATTGTCCTATAGAGATATATCTTTAAATGATTGAGTTTCCTTAGAATTCAATCTTTCTAATATAGAGAAACTTAAGGAGATTATGAAACGAGTGACCTATAGTTAGTTATTGATTACGACGATTTGTACATAATATCAGTCTATGAGGTCATCAACAGTTCTATCGACTTATTCTGTATTATAGATAAACGTCTCATACAGTTGTAAATCTTGATTGATATGATTCGAGCATGAGAGTTTATTTCTTTTAAATTATATTTGAGATGATTAAGAATATTTATAGCTACTGAGGATCACTTTTTTTTGTTTTTGAAATTTCATTCTTTGAGCTCAATAGTAACATCATCATGATCATGATCATCATCACCATTATCAAAAAAAAAACTTCAGAGAGAAGTGAACTATTCAAATTTCTCTACAAACAATTTATTCTGTTGATCTTAAATATGATCAATTGTTATTGTTGATCCTATTTCTATCCATGTCAGATCATTTACTTATTCACATTCATAAACTGACGATTTCTTTCTGTGATCGCATTGAGATGAACTGTAACAACTGGGATTAACATATATATAAAAACATTACTGCTATTGTTATCAAAAAGAACACCCGTGGGAACAACCGGTTATAGTTTAATACTAAATTATAGAGCTATTCGGTAAAGCCATACGTTAAATACTTCATTTGCGAATCCTCCATTAATTGTCTTAAACATTATCGTTCCATTATTGCCACAACAATTACTTCCTGTGTTCCCGTTCTCTATGATTCAATCTTTGCAACCTTCTACTTTCAAACATTTCACTTCTGACAGATGTGTTATATACTACTTATATCGACATAAGTAGCATCCACCACAGTATATCGTTAATTATTTACTGATTAATATATATTTATGTTCTTCATATATCAGTTTATTTATATATTAACATTTACCTGTGCTGATGTATTCAATAGACCAGAAGATAAACCTTCACTTTCTGGATAAGTTAATTCAGCGGCTAATTCAAAACCAATACTTAAATAACCGGTCATAAAGAAACTAAAATAAGTAGTAGGAGAAATTATATTTTAAAAAAAAACAAACTGAAATTATTACAGATAAACGAATAAACAAAAACGTTTATAGAATAGACAAAAATTAAGATAGTATGATTAAGATTTACATACTACTGAATAATTGATTTATTTAAGTAAGATGTCATGACTTTATGGCCTCTAGTTATCATGTAATTTATTCGCCAATCAAAATACGAATTATTCACTTTTGTACTGTACTAAACCAATGACGTTCGGCCGGTATGAGCAACCTAGTGTCCTTATGATCTCTTGCTCGCATAGCCCGTCTAGTTGAGCCAAGAACACCAATACAGCTTCCATTATGCGAATTATTTGTTTCAGACATACTGAGTTTATATACCAACCAGGCGGACAGCATCACACCATAAAATAGAAAATAACATGTATACACAATAAAGCCAGAAAGTGACTGTGAACTTGGGACCCATCAGCAGTGCACATCGACGATCACACCTCGCGAGATTCGAATAAAGGACCTAATGATCTCGAGCACTAATGCATAACCACTAGACCACTGAGCCGATATTTATTTAGCGAGTACAAACTCAACACTTTAATGTCAGGACATGGTATGTAAGTACCAAAATTCATTTCAGTAGTGTAAATTCAGTCACAAATAACGCGTCGTACATGTACACTTCCTTCTGTATATATTTTCTTTTGTAATAACAGTTTTCTGGGATACTATAATATTTACCATCATTTATCAATATCATATTTCTTAGTAAGAATTGATGAAACTCATTGGTGATGATTTAGAGTAATCAGCAAGAAAGCTTAAACTTACGTTTCTTGTTAGTTGGAGCTAGTTGTAATTAACATCTATTTACAATATTGAAAGAACTGTTACCCCCTATCTGATGACAAAGATTATTATTCAGTATCATGGAGGTTGTAGTGTCAATTACTATGTTAAACCCATATAGCTTATTTTAACTACTGGACAGGTCAATATATTTATTCTTCTTGAGTCATGTTATGACTATGTTTATTATTCGCTGATCAATCTTGACTGTTTTTATATGAGCGTTTGTGTGTGTGTACATCTTAACCTAAGAACGGGAAACTCCATGTGTAAAAATTCTAATCCACTCATCGTTAATCGATGCTACTTACTCTACTACGGCTTATTAGAATATGTTCATATTCCACTATTATTGATCTTTATATTCTGTTAGCATCACATACCAATTTCTGTTATATTCTACTCTACATATTTTCATGATTTATTCCGCTATCATAACCGTAAACGATATAATACTCTGTTTTCATGATATTTTGAATCGCTCATACGATCGTGTCATTTTCTCTTCGCTTCGTCCTTCTGATTACCTGTTCAGATCACTGAGTATACAAAATACACGTATTCAAAATTCTGTTATACAACAAACGCGAGTTTGATCGATGATTATATACGAGGATAGGCAACATGTTTACCCCAATAACATTTATACGATCTAATTGGAGTCAAATATAGGATAACAAAAAGGGTAACATTGTTTGTTCAAGACTGTTAGCGTGGGAAGTCTTAACTAACATTATACCTGGGTCTAAAGATATTTTTAAATAATTGGGCTTCAATCACACACCCACACACACGCACACTACATTAAAAGTAGAAAATACAAATGATATATCCATTCTCATTATTATATAATTTGATCGATAAAATGGGATCAACTTTTATACTGTTTTATGATTCGATCTTGTTTGTTTTACTTCAATTCACTTAGATGTTTTTCCTTTTGTTTCATCAATCAAAGAGAAACATTATTGAATATATCAGTTAAAGATTTAGATAATAGAAATATATTGATACTGTAACGTGTAACTGCATGTATTTCATTGTATTTTCTTGAAGGTTTGATGTCAGATATGAACAGTACTAGGCGTTCAGTGAATAATATTAACTAGGCGTTAGTAGTCGATCTAAATTAGACTATCGTTGAATGCCTTGAAGCACTGAACAGTCGTTTCATCCTAGTATGTGATTCCTAAACAGTTCGCGTTCATGATCCCGAACATGGGACTCAAACACAAGACCTTCTGTTTCGCATGAGAACATTTAACCTCTAAACCATTAGGTCGGCATTCAACTGTATGAATGTCTAACATCAACCAATTCTATACTAGGACGAAACAACCGTCCAGTGCTTCCAGGCTTTCCATGGTGATCTAGCTTCAATTGATTCATGAAGTTATACAATTTAATTAAATAGTTTCGAAGGATAGAGTTCATTTTTACTGTCAAAACAAATAAACCGATTATATTAGTTTGATTATTATAAATTTACGAGAGTAAGAACGAAGATTGGTCCAGTTGTGGTGTAAGCTACTTATATCCACATAAGTAGTATATAACGATAGTCAGGAGTAGAATTTATTTCAGTAGAAGATCATCGAGGAAAGAATGGGAGCAGAAAGTAATTGATATGAAAATGCAAAAACAATGAAGTCTGAGACGATGGACTGATATTTGCCAAAAGAACAGTCAAGTTTGAGACAATTGATTGACATTTTGCAAATTAAGTATTTACTGTATGGTTCTCAGATTTTTTTGAGATGTTCTGTAAGTTCGATTACCCCACACGTGTTTGTGTTCACTATGCAGTTAATAAGGCCACGACCTTATTATGATGCATATACATTTATCTTTAATCAGCTGGTAAGAACCTAACGAAATAAAATGAATTCATATTATTCTGCAAAATTCTTCGTTCGTTCTCTCTTTAAGATAATAAAGGGAACTATGCATATGAAATACTATGACTTTCTTGGTTAGCTTGTAATTTAGAATGATTTATTCAATTAAGAACATCGATAGTAGCTTTAGTATATTTGATATGTAGTTATCTGTGGGATTCGGGACATTTGTTTCGGTTCTATTTGGAAATTATCAACCAGATTTTACTCTCCATCATTTAGTTATTTTTAAATTTGTATTTTATTTTTCAAGGTTAGAGTGAGTGTAAATTATTATTTATTTATTTAAACATATAAACATTAGTACAAAGCGGCACCAAATTGATTTGCGCAACATAAATCACTCGATTTGTGTGAGAGCTAGAATATTGCCCGCGTGCCCAAACCGAAACAGGTGGTTTTTTGTGTGGGGCTAACACCCCGAGACTTTGACCTAAAGGTCTAATTCACAAGACAGTAGAGTAACATCAGGAGATGTAGGCCCATGATTGCCATTTGTTTCTTCATAATTCTGGAGCCCATGTACACCATTGGTTTGAAATCAGGGTTTTCCAACTCCCTCAGGTGTACTCACCGAGTCGAAGAACCCAATTAAAGCACCGGACATTCGTTTTTCGTTCTTTCAATTTCGTAAACAACACCATCGATAAGAGAAGGTTGTGAGTAGGACTTCTGTGGTAGTGGTTGTATACACGTGGCCATGTGAGAGCATTTCAAGAGAAAGAGAGTTGACTCTCCCCACTCTCGGCCATACCAGAACATTTGGAGGCTTAAAACAAATGAAATACTATTAAACTGAACAATAATTAAGTCTATCTTCTTATTCTTTTCTCTAGTCAACTGTCATAAATCTTTTCTTACACTATATCAACCTTCTGTATCAGATTCAATTAACCACATATATACGCAAATAAGAAATTAGAACTTACCCTAAAAAGAACATAACGATAAAGACTATTGGCATTGAACGAAGATATAATATTCCAGTAAAGATTCCCATAAACAATAAACTTAGTATATATATAATACATGTGATTAATCTAAATAAACCAAAGAAAACAAAATCAATAGTTTCGATGAATGACTGATTATGTGTATACCATATTTTCTTTTCATTAATAAATAATTATCGAGATCAAATCTTCCAACAACTGAGCAAGTACAAAAAGTGTAGTTCATTTTCAATTATATTAGAAGTAAGATAGATTTCATGGATGAATAAGTGAATGATTTCTTGAAAATTTATCAAAATTACAATAAATTATCTACTTCAGTACAATGGAAGATTAGGTTAGACACTAACACCATTGGATGCCGACTGGTTCAGTGATCTAGTAGGTTTAGCGTTGGCGCGCGAGACTGAAAGCCTTGAGTTCGAATTCCTCGAGCGAAATCGTGGATGCGAACTATTGAGGAGTCTCACAATAGAACGAAATAGCCGTCCAGTGCTTCCAGGTTTTTAACGGTGGTCTAACATCAATCGATTCATGATCTCAAACAATTAATAATTATTGGATAACTACTCAATATGTTATGACGAGTATTGTTTCAAATCTAATTGTGATATATAGTGTGCTATGCGTTAACTCCTCCCCCATCCACTCCTTTGAACTGATTACTTGAGTGAGGACACAAGAGCTATCAAAAAAGTGTATTAGATTATCGAATCAAATGTACAAATACTTATTCATTTATATATGTGTTATTATTTGGACATTCTGTTCTATTAATATATGACGTAATGATAACGCCAATTATAGAACAGCAAAATATTGACCGGACTAATGACACCTAAAACCCATACGAGCAGTCTAGAGTCCTTATCGGTCCTTCTTCATGCTCAGCCATACCTGCCTGTTAGAGTCCAGAATACCAATCTCAACCTCTGAAATATGAATCATGTATTTCAAACATATTGGGTTTATATATTCCAGTCAAACAGACCACATCACACCATAAAATAGAAAACAATATTTGTATAATATCTAGCTCAAAAAGTGGTTGTGAATGTGGAAGATATTGACTAATGAACTGGGGATAACTTAAGAATGGTAAATCGTATCATAATAGTTCATAGGTCAAAATGAAGCTTATAATAAGAGAAACATGAATATGAATTGTTTAGTTACGTAACAATGATGCAATATATAGTATTAGTCCAAAAATAGATTTCAACAATTACCATCCATTATTCTCATCGAGATATAACAAGTAGAACAATCTAGCCTTTAAGGAAATGAGTCCATTTTATAACGAATGAATTACACTTATCTTTTAGATTAGTTTTAATGGCTATCAATTAACTTTCATATTAATTTACCTTTGATTAACTCTTGCATATCAGGATATCTATATCTTTTCATCATTATATAGAATTATCTATCTAGATCATTACTCATTATATAACACTTATCATATCAATTAGCCATTAATTACATAATTCAAAGTAAATCTTTCATTATATATTCTATTATAGGTAATTGATATATAATGGATAAATGGATAAGATTACAGTCTTAGATACAAAATATATAGCTCAACATTAATTATTTCTTTCTTATAATATAAAATGATTAACATAAGACAAACAAAGGAAATGTTTTTTCTACAATCAATCAAAACTAAAAACCAAAAAAAAGTAGAACGATTTCATCTATAAAAATAAAAAACAACATATGAAGATATCAGTAAGAGGTGTGTGTATGTGTGTGTGGGGAAGGGGTGAAGGGTTTTCTGTCAATGATGAGATAGTAATTTTAATAGTTAAGAGATTATGAGTCAATTGAAGTTAGACTACTATGGAAAATGTGAAAGTAGTGGACAATCATGTTGTACTATTGTTGTAAGACTCAAAATAAGTACTGCTGAAGAGCACGATAATAGGACGAAATAGCCATTAAAGTACATTCAGGTTTTTCATAATGGTGTAAATTCAATTGACTCATGATCTTAACTATTAAAAATACTAAGAAATCTATACACTTTCAAGGATATAGTTTAAATACATTTAATATAATAGGAAAAATAGTATTAAGGTTGATGAGGTTTGTGTATTTTCTTAACTAAAGTGAATGAAACCTGTGAATGTTTAAATGTCGTTTTTTTTTACATATAGTTCTTACATGCGTGAGGATCGTATTGAATCAGAAACAAGTCCAAAAACTTAGGATTCATCTGTGAAACTATTAATTCTTTACTATTTTATTGGGTTTATTGGTTACTATCAATCAGTCAGCTACAAAGTAGGACCCCAGACACATAGATGCATCGGTTCAAATTGTCACAACTCATTAACACAACAAATTCAACACAGAATTCATAGAAGTAGTCACTACAATGATAGTAATGTATAAAAGAAAGATTGAATATACAGACATCAAACAGGAAGAAAAAATTAGTTCATAGAAAGAAAGATATGAAGAAATTTTAATCTCATAGTTTAAGCGAAGATAGAGAGTGTATACACCTACGTCATTGTGATCGATTCTGAGTCATGTCACACACAGTCATCAATCATCAGTTACGATAGTCACACAGACACCAAACAACTAGTCTGCATCTATCAACATGGCTAACACTAGAAATAAGTGACTTCAAGCACTGATGCCATGTTTTGGTTTGGCCACTCCTAACTTCCTTACAACCATCTCCAACACTACTCAGCATTGCATACGTAACATGTGGGCTGAACCATCTCAGTCGACGAAGATTTACAACCCTCATCAACTGATTGACCATCATTCTCTAATACCCTAACTCTAACCTTACTATTACTTCCCCGTTGATCCTAACAGATATGAGTAATATTTCTAAGATATCTGTGACCAAATACTAGTGGTCTAGCTTCAATTGACTCATGATTTATTTATTTATTTATTTAACGTGTTATTATTGAATTATAACTAACTAACTAACTAACTAATTAACTAACTAACTGAATAACCTTCAACTTCATTGAACTTTATACATAGAAACATATAAGAACTAGTTAGTTACTGATGTTAAATCTTATACAAATCTTATTGATAATCCGGTTAAGTAAGAGAACAACAAAAAGAAAACTATTTAGTTTATTTTACTTAGATCAACATTAAACTTGTCTAGACCGAGATAAAACAGTGACCTGTGTTTTTTTTTTTTTTTTGTTTAAAGTTATGTCAGTTGACACATCAATAATAGTTACGATTGAATCATTAAACGAAACGTGATTTGAGTAGTATGAATGTTATTTCTTTTATATTATTGCATTATGTAATATATACAAAGCAGTAATGTCATGTGCGATGGAAAGTGTTAGCTATTTGAAAATAATCGATAGAAAAACCTGAAACTCGGTTTCTATTTGTTTAACACATATCAAATAGTTGTCACCGTAGTCTTGAGGTAATTAACGGTCTCTGTTATATCTAAACAGCTTTATAGTCTGTCTAGTGTCCACAATTGATCTTCTAAAAGTAGTGTACTTGTTATCGAGTTACTTAGACTAGTATTAAGATAGCAACTTTATCGACAGAATGAAATCAACTCTATATATTAGACACAAACATAATATAGATCATTACTCACTGATCAATTAGTGTAAATATTTCAGTCCTACTGAATTTCAGTGGTAGTTTAAATAGCTTATCGATAACATAACAAACTGTAAAGTAAAGTGATTTGATGATCAGGTTCAATGTATAATTGATATTGTTGATGAAGTGGATTCATTTTAAAGTATCCTTAAAAACCAGTAGGTCCTGGGTTCAAATCTCGCGGGGGGAGAGGTCGTGGATGCGCACTGCTGAGGAGTTCCATAATAGGACGAAAAGGCCGTCCAGTGCTTCCAAGGTTTCCATGGTGGTCTAGCTTCAACTAACTCATGATCTTAACCATTGAAATTAATACAATCTCCACAAAACCCCTTCTGATAACAATTAAAAATGTTTGTTATTATTGAAGACATTAAGGTATGTGAATTATGAGTTTTAATAACAATGAACATAGTTGAAGTAAGATCAAGTTTACTACTTGCCTATGATAGGTAATGTAATCTATATCTGTATGATCAAATGTACAATCGGTTTCTTGTAAATGACTTCATATACATGCAAAGTTTCATACAATTTATCTTATGTTCAACATTACAACAATTATGATATTACATATCTGTATAAAATGTAATATTTATAATGCAATTAAATGTCTCTTTATTAGTATCAGTATAGGGTTGTGGAGATTATTAAGTTTTTGATTGAGATGTTAGACCACCATTGAAAACCTAAAAGCATTGGATGGCCGTTTCAGTCTCGGTAGTGTAGCGGTATCATGCATCCCTCCCTTTCAGTCTCAGTCAAAAACTTTATAATCTCAACAACCCTATACTAATAATTACCATATGCTCACGAGTGACAAGTTTAATGTTAATCTAAGTAAAATAAACTAAATAGTTTTCTTTTTGTTGTTCTCATACTTAACCGGATTATCAATAAGATTTGTATAGGATTTAACATCAATAACTAACTAGTTGTTATATGTTTCTATGTAGAAAGTTCAATGAAGTTGAAGGTTATTCAGTTAGTTAGTTAGTTAGTTAATTAGTTATAATTCAATAATAACACGTTAAATAAATAAATAAATCATGAGTCAATTGAAGCTAGAACACCATGGAAAACCTAGAAGCACTGGAAGGTGGTTTCATCCTATGATGGCAATCCTCAGCAGTGCGCATCCATGATCCATGGTGGTTTAGCTTCAATTGACTCATTGTTTCAACTATTGAAGCTATTAAAATCTTCAAAAAACAACTTCTGAAAATAAATAAATGTTTGTTAATCCAAGATTGGTATAGTTATCAAGCTGAATAGTAAACAGAAATCGAAGTAAAAACATTCAATGATAGCGTTTGAAGCGAGTGGTAAAGGGTTTGAGTCCCAGAGTAAACATCAACTCTGAGATGCAGGTACATGTAGCTGACGAGTCCCAAATAGGACGAAACGTGCGTCCTGGATTCCACTGCTAGCCACTATCCATCATTGCTTACAAAAAGCTTGTGAATTAAGGCAATATCGAGGCATAAGCACAGTATGCACATATGCTAATAACAGATTGATCAATTTCAGTCTTAAACCTCAATAGGAAGATGCAAGCCAAACAATAGCAAGTGAATAACCAATGATGGTAAGAAAAAAAAGAACTAAATATATGAGATGTAGTTAAGAAATAAAAATAAAAATTTGAAGTGTTCAATCACTAAACAACCACATAGTCTATACGGCTGAGAAACGTGGTCATTAAGAGTAGAAGATACTCATAAGTTACTAGTATTTGATAACAGATATCTTAGAAATATTACTCATATCTGTTGGGATCAACGGGGAAGTAATAGTAAGGTTAGAGTTAGGGTATTAGAGAATGATGGTCAATCAGTTGATGAGGTTATGAATGTTCGTCTACTGAGATGTTTGGGCCACATGTTACGTATGCCTTAACATGGATTACCACGACATGCAATGCTGAGTAGTGTTAGAGATGGTTGTAAGGAAAACAGGAGCGATCAAACCAAAACTTGGCATCAATGCTTGAAGTCACTAACTTCTAGTGTTAGCCATGTTGGTAGATGCAGACTAGTTGTTTGGTGTCCATGTGACTATCGTAACCAATGAATGGAGACTGTGTGTGACATGACTCAGAAACGATCACAATGTCGTTAGTGTGTACACTCTGTCTCTTTCTTTAAACGGTGAGATTAAAATTGTTGTATATTTTTCTACGAACTAATTCTTTCTTCCTGTATGATGCCTTTATATTCAATCTTTCTTTTATATATTACCGTCATTGAGTTAACTACTTCTGTGATTCAGTGTTGATCTTGTTGTGTTAATGAGTTGTGACAAGTTGAACCGATGTATCTATGTGTCTAGGGTCCTACATTGTTGTTGTCTGACTAAGTATAATATAACAATGAAATGATTTAAATAACGAATAAAATAAAAAGAATACAATATTGTTATATAAATAAAGAGAAAAATAAATACAGAATTAAATGATGGTTAATCTTACTTGAATTTTTTTGTTTTATCTAAAATGACACCAGTTATTACTGATCCAAATATACCGGCAATAATCATGGTGAAACCAGCCCAACCAGATAAAGTAGAATTCTTATTTCATTAATTATATAATATAAAATGTAAACAAAAAAGAAATAAAGATTAGTATAGTAGCCACAGTGGGGTTCTAGGTGGAGAAACTTTGCAGGATGTAAAAAACTACATATTTGGACAGTATCATTGATGTACAAGGTGGATCTGATGAAGATGTGAAGGCGCGGATTGGCAAAGCACGACCAACATATCTACAACTGTAGAATATCTGGAACTCAAAACAACTAAAAACTAATATCAAAGTTGGAATTTTGAATAAAAATGTCAAGACACTTCTACTGTATGGGTCAGAAACTTGGGGAACTACCAAAGCTATCATCCACAAGATACCAGTGTTTATTAACAGTTGTCTACGCAAAAAACTATGGATCCGTTGGCCAGACACTATCAGCAACAACATACTGTGATAGAGAACATACCAGACCCCAGCCGAGGAAGAAATCAGAAAGAAGTGCTGAAATTGGATTGGACACACATTGAGGAAAGCACCCAACTGTGTCACAAAGCAAGTTCTCACTTGGAATCCTGAAGGCCGAAGGAGAAGAGGAAGACCAAATAACTTATTACGCCGGGGAATTGAGATAGACATGAGAAGAATGAACGACAACTGAATAGAACTGGAAAGGAAGGCCCATGACAGAGTGGGTTGGAGAATGCAGGTTGGCGGCCTATCCTCCACTGGGAGTAACAGGCGTAAGTAAGTAAGTAATAATACCCAATCACTTTACTTCATAAGTGTGTCTTTTATAATATCCAGTTTCCAGATGGATTTCTTGAAGTTTTTTTTAAATGGATAATCATGATCTAAGTATCTGATCACGATCGAACTACCCATATATTCGATAAGAAATAGCCGATATATAATGGATTAACTGAAATCGGAAGTATAGATCATAGTTTGTGATCTTGTCTCAAATCATTGTTTCATCTTCTTGTTAAACAGTACCTACGCTAAGATGAAACAACGCTTCATTTGTAGTTTTCAATAATTTTACATTTAATTTCACTTCATATTGAAGTATACTTTGGAAATATGAGGAACAATGTTTGTCAACGCTAGTTCATTGACAATTATCGGCTGAATAACTGATTGTATAAAATTTTTGACCACGATATTGAACGGTGGTGCATGATGAAATCATGTGGGAAGTATGAGTATGTTCAACACTAAAGTAACACCTTGCATAAAGGTACTAAAAAGCTGATTAAATGGGTCCATATCTTCCTGCAAATGATATCAAATCATCTAACATTTAACTAGATTATGTGGTTGTAGATACTTGACAGGAAACTCTGAGCGTTGGGTTGATACAAGTCGACCCTTATCTACAGGTCGTACCTGTAATCTTGAGGTAACTCATAGAGCCTGGTAAATGAAAACCCACATTACTTAGCTTCATAGTCTGGAACGTCACTTACTCAGCTATTGAAGCTGTGATCAATTTCCCTTAGGACTCAAATATTTTCAACTAATTAATAACTGACTGGTGAGTAATGTCATAGAGGTTCAATGTTTCATCTTGACTACAGTCAACCATTTAATAACCACATTTATTATACACAATACCAAGTACCATATTACAAATTGACTGATTATCATTTGGCCATAAATTAAGAATCAAACAAACACAAAATGAGTTACTATCGTTCAATCATTAACTAAACCGGATAAACACTGTGACTTTAGTTTAAATGGTTAATAATCAAAATACATATGATTTCAAAAGTATTAATGACTATATTACTACTATGAATAGGATCTGATTTATTTTGTTCGGTGGGAAATATTCTCTATCTATCATATTTTGTGAAATTTGTTTCTTACTCATCTGAAATACAAGTGTCATTTCTTTTTCATATGAGCATCGTACGCTTCTCGTTGTTCGCCAAAACGCATGCTTCCATACGAGAACAATTATATTTTCTTCACGAGTGCCATCGTCAGCATGTTCTACCAACAAGTGTAAGATACAGACCTTCAATCAACTACCTATTGAGATGAAGAATAGCTGATCACATTGGAAGAAAACTGGTACACCTAATGATAACGGATGCACAATACCAACACGTCATAAAGGACCAAAAGAGGAAGCTACAAAGAACACTTACGTCAGAACATTTGAAAATCTTGACAATAGCTATCGAAATATCATTCAAACGACACAGACAACAAAGAAGAAACTAATCAACATCTCAAAACCACCCATGAAAACAAAACACACAAACAACTGCGTGATCAATCTTTCAAAGCATTCATTACACGATCAAACCATTCAGTTCAGAGAACAAAATCATCTATCTGAGCTACAAATCTTCTCCACCATCACAACTATTATTTGTTTGTTTGTTTTTTGAGTAGTGAAAATACTTCAAATAGTTTTGCACGTTGAAATGCATTTGTTTTTAATCTTCAAAGATATGTAATACTCTGATGATTATTTATGGTTGACTGAAGATATGTTCAGTTAGAAAATGTCGTTATCACTAACGGTTCTGAAGAGTAAAACACATAAGGACTGTTACCGCAAAAGTTACATATGAAATTGAGATTGTCAATGGATTTATTTTGTGTCAATATTCTATAATACTCGTGATAGTCTTGGTAAGAAAGATTTGTAAACTAGAAGGAGCTCAATGATGATGATTGATATTTGATTATTTCTTCAATTCTAGATATTGTTAATATTAAGAAGTTTTTTAATAATTTCTCTTAACTGATTCTACTTCACAAACAGATTGGGTTCTAATCTTGTAAGACGGGATCGTAGATGCGCACTGTTGAGGAGTTCAACAATAGAACGAAACGGCCGTCCAGTGCTTCTAGGTTTTTTATGGTGGTCTAGCTTTAATCGACTGGTGAGTTTACCTATAAAATTGTAAGTGTTTGAATTTTCCATGATTGACTTTATTGACTTGACCTGATGAGTCTTTCTTGAAATATTTGTGCAATCTGAGTAGATTTTCTAAATACTTGGGTTTAGTTACGTGTTTTGATGCCTGATAGCAACGGTTTCAGAAAACTATAGAAGATTGGAGTTTGCCTGCTTACGAGTCACCTTAAAGGATTGCAAGGTATCTACCTAATGTCCTGTATCAAGGAGATGTTTACTGATTGCATTGTTTAGAGTCTTTCTTCCTCTTGTTCTGAGACTTTTGGGAACATGTTGAAAAATTCTAAGATATACCCTCCTTTCTGTTGGGCCAATGTAGTTACTTTAGCAGGCACACGTAAATTTATAAATACAGTTGGCGGTAACATGAAAGGCGTGCTTGTCAACCTTTTATTGAGTTATTAAAAATGTTGTTTTATAGAAAATTAATAGTTTGGCTACCGGATAAGTTCTGGCAAGCGCAATGTTCAATCTCCTGATAGTTGTGTTTGTGACATCATCACCTTTGAAGTTAAGATTTATAAATAATGATCTATTCTAATGACTGTAATTACTTCCGGCTTGTTTATTTTTAGGTTTTTGTCAATAAATTTTTGTGGGTAACATTTGTCTCTTAGGCATTTTTTAACGTTCACCAATTCTGACCCCAGTTTATCCGTGGTACATATCCTTTTTACCCTATAAAAATATTATTTTAACCAATGCCTTCTTGTCACTGATTGTGTAAGAACTACTAAAATTCATGTAAAGGCCATTTTAATTATTCAATATCAACTATACTAATTAACCTGTTGTAAATAGTCTATTGATCTCACGTTACAAAGTAGGCAATTGGTTAAGTGACCCACTAATATAGGTATGTTAAATGGATGTTAGATAAATAGAGGTGACAAGAAACTATATATTTAGACTTCGAATTAATTGGCACTTGTTGACTAACTAAACATTTCTGAGGAATTGATACTTTCTATTATAGTGGTGAGTATCTTCGCCTATCACGTGGAAGGCCCGGGTTCGATTCCCGGTCGAGGAGTCGGCTTTGGGTGAATTAAGAAAAAAACGATAGAAATGAATACGACATACATTACGAAACTCATCAAACTGCATCATGAGGCAAGCCCTAACTTGAAATTCTGAAGAGAAGCGGAAAAGAGGAAGGCCAAAGAACACATTACGTCGGGAAATAGAATCAAATATGAAATAGATGAATTACAACTGGAAAGAGCTGGAAAGGATTACTCAGGACAAGACTAGATGGAGAATGCTTGTAAGCAGCTTATTCTCTTTCACAAGGAGTAACAGGCGTAAGTAAGTAGGTAAGTATTATTTAATCCCATATTATACTATCATTATTGGTTTTAATGTTAACATTGATCTATTCAAATGATTATCTTAATTCTAAATAAAAGTTGACAATTATTTAGATAAATAAGAAAGTTTTACATTCAATTAGATTGATTTCAGTAAGCATCATAGATCACATGGTTGTTTGATATGTTTATACGTACAATAATGATATCATTATTCATTACAATGTACTCTATGTTTATTACATACAATAATAAACATTTGTATACCATGTGATTAAAACTATTCAAAGTCTAGAAGACTTATCACAGAGAGAGATTTTGTGTAGAAGATTGGAAAATCTAGAAACACTGGATGGTTATTTTCATCTTAATATAAGACTTTTCATCAGTGTACATTTACGATACTCGTGACTAATAGCTCTAGAGAATAGTTTATATTTTGTAATAATACAAGTGAATAAGTTAATACAGTATGATGATATGACACAGTTTATATCACATATTAATCTTAGTTAAATAACTTATAAAATCAGAAAGTAATTGAATGGTTATTGTTTCGTCCTATTATGGATTCCTCAGCAGTGCAAATCTACGAGATTCGAATCCAGGACCTATCAATTTCACTTAACCTACTAGACTACTGAGCTAGCCAGCATCCAACGATGTTAATGTCTAACTTCAACTAATTCACCAAATTGAACAACACATTTACCATTGTCATCAGTAATTTACTATCTCACAACAGACATGGTTAAACTCCTTTGGTTAAGGCTTCTCACTAGAACTCTAGGATATACAACCTGAAGCCAGTTATTAGTGAGCATATGTTGATTAATATGAGAAGGAGTTTTAAAGAGATTGTAGTAATTTCAATAATTCAATTCATGAGTTCATAGAAGCTAGACCACCATGGAAAATCAATTTGAATATTAAAAAAAAAAAACCAACTGACTCACTGTAAAATATCCTAGTAAAATACTATTTAATAATGTACCAACAGCATAGTAGACACCAGTAAGTATACCTGAACAATTAAAATTACAAAAATAACACAATTATGCATATATATATGTTACTAATAGCAACAAATATGTGTATTTAGTTGCCTAATACTAAATTATTCTTATATAACGACTTTTTATAATGAACCATTTATATAGAAAAGATAGAATATGATTCGTAATGAAATCATGCATAATATACATTAGTTCTTATTCAATAGATAGATATTTAAAATATATATTTACCATTGTTCAAATTGATATTCAATCTAACATATTATCCACTTAGTTGTCAAGTGAAACGTTAGATTTACTTCAAATTGTTTCTCTGAGATTTTACAAATACATTCTTCCTCTTTAATAACAAACTACCCATTTATATTTAGTAACTGTTTTAACTTTTATATTAGTATAGAGTTTTGACTATAGAATAAATTGAAAAGAAATATCAATATAGGGGTTATGAAAATTATTAATTTTTTAATTGAGATTATAAACCGATTGATGTTAGACCACCATTGAAAACCTGGAAGCAATGGACGATCGTTTTGTCGTATTGTGGTTGCGCAACTTCGTGGATTGGTTAAGACTGGAAATCAACACCATTGTATACTAGTTAGCTCAGTGGTTCAGTAAGTTAAAAGAATAAAGACCCTGGGTTCAAATCCCCAGAGTGGATAAGCACTACTGAGTAGTTTCACAATAAAACAAAACGGTCATTCAATGCTTCCAGGTTTTCAATGGTGGTCTAACATCAATTGGTTTATGATCTCAATCAAAAATTCAAAAGATATATTTGTTTAAATTCAATCAGTATTGTTGGTTTAAATCTTTCCATTGTTGTTTAGGACTGTAATTGATCAGTCACTTATTGGCATACGTGCATACTGTATAGATTGCCTTAATATTACCTTAATTCACATGCATTCTAAGCAAAGATGGATGGTGGCTAGCAATGGAATCCAGAACTTCCTATTTGGGACTCATCAGCTGGATATATCTACATCTCAGAATTGATGTTCACTCTTGGACTCAAACTCAGTAAAGTTCGCTTCAAACGCCATTACGTTATCCACTTATCTACTAAGACCTGGATAGCCACTTGCTTATGTAATGGGATGAAGTTGTTGATTTGTATTGGTTTGATCCAGAAAACTTCTCGCAAAAGACAAGCAAGGATCAAGAAAACACGAAGAAACATTTTATCCAATCAGAGTTCACTTGAAGTTTAGCCAGAAACATTAAGAAAGTGAAAAGTTACATGTAGAGTTTCCGAATGCCTGATTACCTACACATTCCAGAATCTTCGCGAAACCAAAGACATCTAAAATACTATAAAAACCCTATATTTTCTGTACAAAAACGAACCTTTGGAGTAAAGTGCTTCTCGTATATTTTACACCGTTTCTCTCATGTTCAAGTCGCTGTTTAGTTCTAGCTTGGATGGGGGGGGGAGTTACGAGAATAGCCTAGGAACCGTATATAACGTTCAATTAAAAAGACTTATCAGTTTGAATCTGTTGAGATGATCCATAAAAATTCTCGCAAAAGACATGAAAGGATCAGGAAACACTAAGAAGCATTTCATCCAATCAGCCTTCACTTGAAGTTTTAGCCAGAAAACATCAAGGATGTGAAATGTCACATGTAGAGGTTCTGATTGGCTGATTGTTATAACGCTACTATGTTTTGTAGCATCCCAGAATCTTCAAGCAACCCAAGGATATTTAGAATACTATAAAAACCCTCTGTTTTCTGTATTAGAGTGAACGTTGGAGTAAAGTACTTTTCGCATACTTTGCGCTTTCTCTCTCATATTCAAGTCGCTGTATAGTTCTAGCTTAGGGGTTACAAGAATACCTTAGGAACCGAGTATAGCGTTCAAAATCGCAACACTTATTAATTTGAATCATTTCATGGATATTGATTCAATCTGTACATTTTACATATTTTCCATACTTCATTTGAAACCATCTCAACATTCTATAAATAAGACTGATCATATAAGGATTAAGCTTAGAATCATGATCATGTTATATATGTATATACTAAATTATATCATATAAAACAAATACAATATACTTACCATAACTAATAAATAATAAAACAAACGGGATATTTTTAAATAAACGTTTTAATGCCATTGAAATAGTTTCATTTCTAATATGATTTTGTAATGATTGATATGAATAATTATCTATACTACTAATATCATTATGTTCATCAATATTTATTATAAAATTATTCATGATTGAATCATTCTTATTTAATGTATTCTGTTTTAATGATGATGATAATGATTGTTCATTTGGACTAAGTGTTGAATAGTGTTGATCAACATCTAATGATTTTGGATAGAATTCTAGAAAGAAAGAAAAAAAAAGAAAAGAAAGAGATGTTTATAGTTTATTTTATTTATTTTAACACATAGATATCGGTACAAGAAGGCACCAAATACATATGCGCCACACAGATCTCATTGGATATGTGTGAGGGCTGTGATACTGCACGGGTGCCCAAACCGAAGCAGGTGGTTTTCTTAGGGAGCCACACCCCGAGCCTTTGACCTGAAGATCTGATCCACAAGGCAGTGGAGCATCGTGAGGAGATGCAGTCCCTTGGTAGCCGGTGACCGACGATTGGTTCATACACCATTTGCTCCTTCAGGATACTGGAGCCAGCCCATGTGCACCATTGGTTTAGGGTCCGGTTATAGCGCCGGACATTCACTTTTCGTCCTCTCATTTTCGTAAACAACACCGGTGCCACGAGAAGGCAGTGAGTAGGACTTCCCTGGCAGGAGCTGTATACGCGTGGCCATGTGAGAGCATTTCGAGAGGAGGAACGGACTCCCCCCACTCTCGGCCATACCAGGGCATTTGGGTTTGTGCTCTTATCAATATATCAGGTTATTGTTATATCTTGTGATGTGCCAATTAGGGAGTAGCGTATTATCGATCGAAACAGTGACGCATAATACACGTGCGAACAGCCTAGAGTCTTGATTGTTCCTGCTTCCATGTTTAGCCAAGCCAGTGGAGTCCAGAACACAAATCTCAGCCTCAGTGATATGAATCATTATATTTCAAACATATTCTGTTTATATACCAATCAAACAGACTACATCGTGCCATAAAATAGAAAATACACATTTGTACATGATTTAAACTCCAGGAAATGACACAAATAAATATTGACCAAAGGGAAAATGACACGTTGGAAGAATATTCACCAACGGAGAAATGACACCATTTCTCATTCAGGAATAGCATTAGATAATTTCTGGTGTATTTTCTGAATACCCTAACAGTAATGATATTGCCAATTGGAGAACACTGATTTATCGATCGATCCAACGATGCAACAACCCATATGAGCAGTTTAAAGTCCTTATCAATACTTTTTCATGTCTAGCCATGCCTGCCTATTAAGAGTCCAGAACAGCAATCTTAGCCTCTACAATATGAATCATTTATTTCAAGCATATTAGGTTTATATACCAACTATACAGACCATACTGTACCATAAAATAGGAAAAACATTTGTATAACATCTAGCTCAAAAGTGGCTGTGAATGTGGGAGACTGGAATCGACGGACTGGGCATTACTCAAGAATGGTAAATCGTAACATAATAGTTCATAGATCAAAATAAAGCTTACAATAAGAGGAATATGAATATGAATAGTTAAGTTACTTAACACTTATACAATAAATATATATGTATAATATTAGTCCATAAATGGATCCACAACAGTTACCATTCATGATTCTTATCAAGATATAACAACAACATCAACAACAACAATATATTACCTTTATCAATATTATTTTTCTTTTCGTGTAGACCATTATTATTATTGACTATTGAATGAATTCCATTTGAAGGTCTATTATCAATGGATAATTGATCATTTATATGTAATTTATGAATGACTGATGAACCACTACGTTTATATTGTGCTAAACTTGGTTCAGTTTTAGGTTTTGCACGAAAACCTTAATAAAAGATAAAATTAAATTGATATAATTAATAATTAATTTATAATAGAGGAAAGTTTATTCGGTAAAACTATCATTACTCGACGACCTTTGAGGGACGTTAAAGTGACCTTCAGAGTGTCCACTGAATAACTAGGACCAAATGATGATTATAAACCAATGTGAAGGATTATAATAATAATTTACAATTGATGGTTAGGGGTTAAGAATTAGATTTGCGGTTTTCATCACAAACTAACATCATTTATAATATTAAAACTTTATTTATCCGACATCTGTTATCTTATATCTGATTGGTTCGTTCATAAATTATAATCTCGCTGTTTATTCCAAAGAATTGTTGTTTTATTCTATTTGGAGAATAATTTAACAATCAAGATTTCACATACATCATCTTTTAGAAGGTAATATAGATTACTGAATTTTTAATTATTAATATTGCATGTAGCGTTCAATTTTGTGAATTACTGAAAGTTAGACATTAAGACCGTTGAATGCCGACCGGCTCAGTGGTCTAGAGGCTTAGCTCTCGCGCATAAGACTGATAGGTCCTGGGTTTGAATCTCGTGAAGCAGGATCTTGGATGCCCACTGCTGAAGAGTTTCATTCCAGGATAAAACGGCCGTCCAGTGCTTCCAGGTTTCCCATGATGGTCTAGCTTCAATTAACTCATTAACTTAACTATTGAAATATTGTATTTATTAGAAAATGATTTAGTTCAGTAATATGAACCATTTATAGGTTTTTTAAGATAACAAATTAATATTTCGGTGAATTACATAAAGTAGATTAATTAAATGTCCAGAAATCAGAATCGATTATTAAACAATAAAATTCAATTAACTTCTTACTTGAACCAAATCATTCAATGAATTAATTAACTTTAATAAAAATGTATGGTTGTATAAGTTTCCAATGTTTAAATGATGTCACTCATATAAGATATGCTCATTAAGTGTTTGTAAGTAGTTAGAAAGATTCTCTTCTGGATCTAAGTTTCGTGCTAATTGACGCTCAAAATTGTATAATTCAGCTACACAAAAATGTCACCACTGGAGTGTCTGTTATAACTTGTAGCCCTGTTCCCCCTATCAATATATTATGTGTAATGATGCAGCCAAATAGAGGACAGTGATTTATCAACCGGATCAATGACGCATAAAACCATATGAGCAGTTTAGAGTTTTTATCGGTCCTTCTTCCTGCATAACCCTACTTGCCTGTTGAGTCCACAATACCAATCTCAGCGTCTGTGATATAAATCATGTATTCCAAACATATTGGGGCCTATATACAAATAGTGTCCATGACCCAGTTGACTTGAAGTATTTCACACTGTAATTGACTACTGTTTAGTGATTATTATTAATGTTTGTCTAGTCATTGAATAATGATTGGGTTCTTAATGTTTCCACAAAGCTTGTGTGCATTTCCATCTTGGCATAAACAAGTTGGCTGATTTTATTATTATCTACCGTTTATTTCTATTAAACTATGTATCATTTGCCTTTATGGAGAAATCACCAATTAACTGTTTAAACTTGATTAACAGATGAGTATGTTATTTTGATTCCCATCAATTTTAACTGATGAATTGTCATATTTTTCTAAGATGAATGCATATTTTCAACAATTTTCCAGAGATATCTAGTTTTCAGTAGTTATCTAACTAAGAACAGTTCATGATATAAGTCAGTCAGTAACAACGTACAACTTCGTACGTAAGTACATCAGTTCGAGTTGCCATACCACATTAGCACAGAGGTGCAGTTGTCGATTAAAATCCCGTAGTGGTAGAGGTGACAAGAGTATAAGCAGTGATCGGAAAGATTAGGGTTTGAAGATGTTATTCAACGCTGAAATAAATTTGGAAAGAGGAAAAATAGAGGACATGAAGAATTCAGAAGATTAGATTTTGAGAGAACAAAAAGAGTGGATGCACCTACGTCATTACAAACGATTTTGAGTCATGTCATTCAAGGTTTCTAACCATCGGTTGCTATCGTCTCACGGATCCCAACCACGTAGTCTACACCTGCCAATATTGCTCAGTGCACTGTTCAGTGACTTCATGGATTTGTGCCATGTTTTGATCTGACTGCCTCTAGCTTTCTTCCAACCTACTCCTATACCACTGAACATCGCACATCGGGACAGTCGGTGGTCTGGTATGCGCAACACATGTCCCAGCCATCTCAACTGATGAAGTTTCACTATTTCATCAATTGATTTGTCATCCTTACCTAGTACCCGTTTCCTAACAACTGTGTTACTTACTCGATGGTCCCAGGATATACCAGCAATGTTTCGAAGACACCTATGATTGAATACTAGTAACCCACGAATATCCTCTACTCTTGCCGGCCATATTTGACTTCCATAAAGTAGGACTGAACGAACGGCTGAGCAGTAAACACGTCCTTTGGTTGATAGACGAATATCTCGCCTACGACATAAATGACGCAAGTTGGCAAAAGCTAGTTAGCTAACTAATCATCAAATAATCTAATTGGAGTCAAATAAAGGATCACTAATGTGTCCACTGTTAAAAAGTTCTATACTATAACGAAACATTCTATTGCTCAATAGCTTTTCAATCAATATCTATCCTTAAAAGGTAAACTAAACTTTAACTGGTATCAATTTCAACAAACCTCTCAATCAAACATTTTTTTTAACTGATAAACATCATATTGAATATAAAGTAGAGATCAATTAGATGATCCAGATTTTAAAGTCTTATACAAATAATATACAATTCAATAAAAAATTGCTTTAAAAAAGGATCCTTTTAAAGTTCTGAGCATCAAAATCAAATCAAAACTTTGTATCTATCAGTCTAGAGTTTAAGTGCTCTCGCGCAAGACTGATAGATCCAGGGTGCGAATCTCATTAGGTGGGATCGTGGATGTGCACTACTGAGGAGTCCTATACTAAGACGTAATGGCCTTCCAGTGCTTCTAGGTTTGCCATGATGGTATAACTTGAATTGAGTCATGAATTCAACTACTAGATTTTTAATAAGTTTCTTTTCTTTTATATCATGTTCATAGTTTGATACAACTATATAAAAGTTGAAAAACTGACATGTTCATTTAACAATGATGTGTAACTATGATTGTTCACAATATAAAACATTGGCATCGGCCTAGCTTCCAAATGGAACTCATATTACATTGATATTAAAAAACTGAAACAGTAGAGAAGATTTGTGGTTGGGATTTTTTTCTATAAACTAGATGACTTAATCATGAAGCTTTCATTGTTCTTTTGAACAACATCATCAACACAAACTTTAAGTAGAAGTAAGGTATTAGAATTTCTTCATGTATAGTTGACAAGTTCTCCTGTCATCTTGATCGGTCATTGTTGACATTTAACCTGTAATTGTCTGGACATCTATATTGATTGTCTCACTTTTTCTTGAAGCAATAGAAGATCCATTATTAGACCATCCAACTCAAAGAACGACAGCGAACTAAGTCAATCAGTCGTCAGTCGAGAATAACTTGAAACTTAAACTATATATCCAACTTAATAATAATAATAATAATAATAATAATAAGATAGAACTAACGGAATCAAAACGATAGCATTAATGGTAATAGAAAACTAAACAGTGAATATCATTCAAAAACAATAAAAGAAGACTGAGATTCATTTTTGTATTATTTAGATGAACCTTCCCATTCATGTTTAGGACTGCAATTGATCAGTCTCTTATTGGCATATATGCATCCAGTGCGGATTGTCTTAAGTCATAAGCACTATAAGCAAAGACGAATAGTGGTTAGCAGTCGAACTCAGGATGCACGTTTTGTCTCATTTGGGACTCATTAGCTGGATGTATCTGCCTCGTATAGTCGATGTTCACTTTGGACTTAGTAGCTAAGCGGATAGCAGTACTAAAACTAAACAATTGATATAAACCATTGTGAGGAATTAGAATTGGAATTTACAATTGATGGTTAGGATAAGGAATTAGATTTAGGGTTTTCATCTCCAAATGACATTAGCCAAAATCCCAAAACGCTATTTAGCCAAATGGACCAATGAATTTCCCATTAAAATCTAAGACCTGCTGTCTTATACCTGATTGGTTCATCCATAAATTATAGTCTCTCCATTTACATTAATTTATTCTAGTCCACAATACTGGTGACATTCTGTCAATCTCATTTCTAGAAGAAATCAGTCGTTTTCGGAATAATTCAATGTCAATGTATTTAACAGTAACAGTATGTGATGTCAGTTCAAATATCAAAGAGTCATAGATTACTCCAAGATTATTCATACAGTATTCTGTTAAATACTGATGAAATTTTTCTACAAGATGTTTAAAACCATATAATATGAACCCGACCGTTGTTGCTACCTTGACGTGATGGTCGGGCTTGCCTATCGTGATGAAGCAACTGAGCTATACTGGCTGGAAAAACCGTTCCTCAAGATCCTACCATGCCAGACAGGTCGGTTGAAGATAGGTAAGACTAAAAGCAACAAAACCAAGGTCCGAAGGCGAAGTCGTACTGCTCACTGTACAGAGGTGTGACAGCAGTAAGGTGTTTCCTTCACACAACCAGCATAACAGCGATGCTGCGTTTCCACAAGGAGGGGTGGGGTTAGAAAAGGTCGACCCTAAAAATGCACACCTCGCCTTATCCCACGGATATCCATCTCCGGCGATAAGGTCTTAACAAGTACAGAGCTAACACAAAAGTTACTCATAAAAAGGTCGTGTGTGACCGACCTCAAGCAGTTGTCCCTTGGGCACTGCGGTCACGCTCTGAGGTCACTAAGACCGACTCTAAACTAATTTCCTTTTCAGATTCCTTTAGAAGAACCGTTACACGGTGTGGGCAGCTGGGAAGTGATAACAGCCCTCATACCTCTAACAGCACTCAAGACCACTGTATTCAGAATCAACTTCCTAACTGACATATAATATGATGGGTAACGGTTTATACTAATAATAGATCCTAATCATTTCAACCGGTTTATAACAGAAACTTTTTAAACTATGCAATGAATATATTACACAACTTACCAAATAATACAAATATAAATGGAAGTATATTTAATGCAGCACTGAAATATAACATAATCATCATATAATGTTTCATTTTATGGAATAATTCATTCATATCTATTGTTGGATCAATTTGATTAGTTCCATTTGAACTATACGGTATCGATGGTAAAATAAGCGGTGGTACTAGAAAACCAAATGCAACACCAAGCTAGAATAATAATAAAATATGAAAAGAATAATTTTATAGCTAATTATGGAGTACATTCCAAATGTTTCATTTTATTTAGGACTAGTTACTTTTAACTGTTAACTATATTCCATTTATGCAATTAGAAACTTGTAACAATATGGATATGGTAAAGTATACTGTACAAGATATACATATGTTAACAAAGACTGATCACAATGCAGGTCTCAATGTCATAAAGGTATAATGTTTCACAGTATATAACAATATTGATGGGCAAATTGTTCATACTGTAACATTAGAACACTCACATTTACACAAACACAAACACACATGTACAACTAACAACATTTACTCTAAGTAATAGAAACTTTACAATAGCAGGTTAAAAAAAATCATTTTTGTCCACAAAAGCCCTTCTGATACTAATCAACATATGCTCACTAGTCACTGGGTTCAAAAGGTATTTCCTGGAGTTCTATTGAGAACCAGTGACCAGTATAGTTCAACCGTGTCTGATGTAAGATAGTAACTCACTAACAAAGATAATGGTGAATGTGATGCTCGATTTTATGGATTAGTTGAAGTTAGATATTAACACCGTTGGATGCTGGCCAGCTCAGTAGTCTGAAGGTTAAGCGCTTGTGTGCGTGACCTATAGGTCCGGGGCTCGAATCTCGCGAGTCGAGATCAAGGAATGTAACTAATCGGTCGATTAGCACTTACCAAAAAAGCGATTGATTAATTGCAATTCGGAAACTTATACAAACTTATACGAACAAAATTCCCATTCAGTGTATAAGCTGTTGTAGATCTGGACGTCGCAGTTCGATGGACAGCGCATTATTGTTTGAAGCAATAAGCACTGCTTTACAATTTCATAGTAAGCAGAAACAACGAGATGGAAAAACATCCATCTAACAAATCCCAAACAAGACAAAATATCAGTCCTGAGTAGCGGAAGCGCATCATCACGTTCTGTTTAGGACTAATTAATTAAATTTACTCCTCATCCTACCATTAATATTCACACCGGAATTCGAACCTACGTCGGTTAGTATCAGACAATCAACAGCTATCAACTTATTCAACATGTATGAAAATATTAGAAGGGGTTTGCAACTTATTGTTTTTAAAAAACTTAGTGGATAATGCGTTAGACGTTTAGGGACAACAAATACCGAGTTCAAGTATTGGTCTAAACATCAACATTTAAATGTTGGTACATCAAAGCAAAAAGTCTCGAATAGAATGTATAGTGAATTCTGGATTTAATTACTAGGCACATACACATTATATTTTAGTTAAGGTTTCTATTTTTAAAATCACGTTATAGTGATCCAGATCAAAAATGTACTAACTGTTCCAGGTAAGTAAAACTTAAAAATAACGTTAATATATAAATTCACTTGTTATTGTTTATTTGAATCTTCCCATTGATGTTTAGAATTGCAATTGATTAGTCTCTTATTGGCATATGTACATACTGTGAGTATTGTCTAGATATAACCTTAGTTCACAAGCATTATATGCAAAGATGGATAGTAACAAACAAATGATGCTAAGTGAATTTAAACTTCACTCTATTGCACAAGAAAGTAGCTATTAGTACTCAGTAGCTAAATGTATAACGCGATGGCATTTGAAATGAACGGTAATAAGTTCAAGTCCTAGAATGACCATAAACACTAAGATGTGGGTACATCCAGCTGACGAGCCCCAAGTAGGACGAAGCGGCTCATGTCCTGTATTCCACTGCTAGCCACTATTAATTACTTATCAGCTTATTTTATTTAACTGTAAAATACACATCTACCACCTAAGAGTAAACAAATGCTAATAATTAATACATTTCATTTAAGTAATATGAAATACTTACAATTACTTGTAACTGTGATTTACATAAAAAGATAGTTTATCTATATGCATTTATTATTGTTGAATTGTGACTAGTAGTAGGATACAGAATATGCATTTCATGCATACCCGTTTCAAAAGCTAGCGATAGTTCAGTGTATAATGTGTTAGCTTTTGAATTGATAGATACTACGTTTTATCGTAGTGTGGACATCAACATTTCAATGTTGATATGTTCGATTGATGAGTTCCAAGTAGGTCGAAAAATGAATCTAGGATATTATTGTTAGTCAACACAGAGTTCTACTGGAAACATATAGTTAAATGAAAGCATCGATTTAATTTGTTCAGAATCCATATATTTTGGTAGAGACTGGTTAATTACATAGCCTAACATCAATAACCGGGGAAAAAAGCGGTGAAGACAGTACAAACTTACTTGATTCCCGAATACACCAAGTGCAGTAGCCGTTGAAACTTCATTCACTCCAAACCAAACTGCTGCTAAGTGGGCTGGTATACCCAATATACCGGACTGAGCTATTCCACAAATAGTTTGTCCAGTCATAAGTATTGGAAAACCAAGTTTATTACTGAATGGAATAGATTTATTAGTTTGTCCAAACGTTGTTTCATACGTAACTGCACCCGCTATACATTTAATACAACCACCGACTGCATTCAAAATTGAAGCAACTAAGAGAGTTACACGCAGGCCCCATCTATTCAGTATCCAATTAGAAGGAAATATCAATGGAATATAAGTGAGCATATAAATCATTGACAACCAATCTACAGATATTGTCTTGGTATCTACAGATGACCCTGAATATGGGAAGGTCAAATAAAAACAAAAATTTTATAACAGTCTGTAATACTCATGAGGAAGTCATTAATTGTTATAAATGAATTGATATATGGTTGATAAATTTAATTTATGCTTCAACTTGGGTATATTTACTTATATTGGGTTATCATCAATGTATAGGTTGATTTACGGGGATTGTAAAATTCTCGCCATTCTAATCACGAACTGATCTTAATTAAATAACTAATTGGGACCTAGAAGTACTGAATGGCCATTTGTTCCTAGTACAGGACTCTTCAGCAGTGTTTATCAGCGACTCTAAACCCAGGGAATTGAGCTCAGGAATTTCGATCTCGCGTGCGAACGCCTAACCTCTAGACCACTGAGCCAACATCTAACATGTAATTAATCTGTTTAATAAATATGCAAACTGAAGTTATAAAAATACATTTTATAAGGTTAAACATACATCAGTCTTATTACTTTCAAAATACACTTCTTTTATAGTTATATTTTTATCTCCGTTTCCATTCTTCGAAACATATATAGAAATCTTCAGAACATAAATTAGACACATGCTATGTTACTTTACAAATTATTACTCATTTGCTTCTAATTATTGTACTCGTTAAATTATAATTTAATCTTTATTACCCTCTGGTGACGTTCATCAGTCATCAATCAAAAATTGTTCCTTCATGATCAAATTCTAGTGAACGTTTTATTACTGGCAAAGTGTAATTTACGTGATCAATAAATAAGCAGATCATATGTCCTAGAACGTAAATAATAGAGTATACATTCAAAATCTTTCTGTGGAGAAATATGTTTGATTCATTATCCAAGGCTTATAAATATGAAGCAGAATGTTATCGTGAAGTGTCTTATAAATTTATTCATTCATACAGTATATATTACTTAATTATATTGAAATGTTATATGTGAGCAGTAACACCCCCCCCCCCAGAAAAAAACAGAAAGATGGTTTGGTAACTAAGCGATCACTACACTATGTGTTGAGATAATCATACTTTTTTTCAACGTTCAATAAAAGTGCGATATTAAGTATTTTCAATCAGTTTACCGTTCATTTAATGTATCATTGTTGCAGATGAGGGCGTAATCTTTACTAATTCGCGAGAAAGAACATCCTGAGTTCGAAACCCGAATGCAAAGTGGTTGATGAACACTTCTATAATAGAACGAAACGGTTGCCTAGATTTTCAATATTTATCTAATATGGATCCACTTGTGATTTCAATAAAATATCTACATATGTTTTCGATTAACAGGCTAATATTGATTATTTATTTATTTTAACACATAGATATTGGTACAAGGAAGCACCAAATACATATGCGCAACACGAATCTCAATTGATTTGTGTGAGGGCTGTGATACTGCCCGGGTGCCCAAACCGAAGCAGGTGGTTTTCTTAGGGGACCACAACCCGAGCCTTCGACCTGAAGATCTGATCCACAAGGCAGTGGAGCATCGTGAGGAGATGCAGTCCCATGGTAGCTGGTGACCAACGATTGGTTCATACGCCATTTGTTCCCTCAGGATACTGGGGCCCATGTGCACTATTGGTTTCGGGTCCGGTTAAAGCGCCGGACATTCGCTTTTCGTCCTCTCATTTTTGTAAACAACACCCCCGCCACGAGAAGGCAGTGAGTAGGGGTTCCCTGGCAGAGGCTATATACGCATGGCCATGTGAGAGCATTTCGAGAGGGAGAGCGGACTCTCCCCACTCTCGACCGTACCAGGGCATTTGGGGGCTAACAGGCTAACAGGCTAATACAAGAGCTCATCCCAAATTGCCGGATGTAAAAACTTAAGTTAAATCTTGAAATGAGGTCCTGTGTAAAAAAAGAATTGCGCTACAAACTTACAAACATATAATTCATCCTTTTTACATTACACATGATTGATTTCTGATGAAAATTAAAACAGATTAACAACAAGAATAACAACAACAAAACTTGGAAAATCATAACAAGTTTAATATTGTTTATAAACAACAATCAGTTAGTCAATGACCTAATTCGACATATCCTATTCAATGTTTTATGGATCATCACATATATTTTTTTCCAATCGACCATATTCTTGTACAGATTGAATGATTTATAACTGTATATATAATACATGTATATTTGTTAATAGTCAATTTAAGAAACATAGTATTGAAAGAGAGGGAGAGCTAGAGTGAATAAGTGAGTGAGTGAGTGAGTAGGTAAATGGATGAGAGAGATATTAAAAGTGAACCAACTAATTAAATGTACTTAGTCAATGAGTAGTGAAAACAATTTACATGACCACTTAGTTCGTTATTATTATTATTACTAAAATAAAGTTCATCATGTAGTTATTTTGTATCTTATAATATACCAATGTCAATCAGATTTGTACCAGGTCATTGAAACATTCTATTTTTTTTCTATTCATATCATGGCTTCAAATATGAATTATTTTTTTTTTAAGTGACAAACATGAAAATTCTGAGAATTATTAACCAACAGTTGAGATCATGAGTTAGTTGAAGCTAGATCACTATGGAAAACCTGGAAGTACTGGACGGCTGTTTCATCCTATTGTGGGACTCTTCAGCAATGCGCATCCACGACCTCGCCCCCTTCAAGATTCCAACCCAGGACCTACTGGTTTCGCACGCGAACACTTAACCACTAGATCACTGAGCCAGTCGGCATCCAACGGTGTTAATGTCTAACTTCGACTTATCCACGAAATTGAGCGACACATCCACTATTTTCTTCAGTGAGTTACTATCTCACAATAGACCTGGTTCAACTCCACTAATCAGTACTTCTCACTAGAACTCTAGGATATACCTCTTGATCTCAACTGTTAAAATTACTACAATCTCCACAAAAACCTCTTCTGATACTAATTATTAACCAAGTTGGATTATGACTAATATTACAATCCTAGTGGTATACTATTATTATATCCCGATAAGAATAATACTGAATGGTAATTTTGGGGATCTATTTATGAACCAGTACTATGCGTATATTTTTATCATATAACTGTTATGTAACTGAACTATTCATATTCATGTCCCTCTTATTATGAGCTTTATTTTGATCTATGAACTATTATTATACGATTTATCATTCTTGAGTTATTCTCAATCTGTCAATTACAGTCTTCCACATTCATAGCCATTTTTGAACTAGATCTTATACAAATGTTGTTTTCTATTTTATGGTACGATATAGTCTTTTTGATTGGTATATAAACGCAGTATGTTTGAAATATAATGATTCATATTGCAGAGGATAAGATTGGTGTTCTGGACTTAACTGGCTGGACTAGGCGGAAAGCAGAATCAATCAGGATTATAGACTGTTCGTACGTGTTTTACGCGTCATTGATCCGGTCAATAATTCACTAATCCCTAATTGGTGGTTACAAGTTATAACAATTATAGTCCTGATTGAAAATCATCAATTGAACTAATTTACTATTATTGAAAAATTGATACCCATAAGGAAACTTGAACTCATCATCTATTGCTTTAAATGATACCACCTCATATTTACTAACCTATAAAGTTCAGATAATCAGTAAATTGAATAAGTTATAAGTATAGGTTTATGGAGATTGTTGAGTTTTTATTCAAATGATGAACTTATCAATATTAGACCATCATTACTTTCAGGTTTTTAACGGTGATATAATATTGATAGGTTCATGATCTCAATGAATAGATTAATATAAGAATTTACATTGTTTAATAACTGTGTAACAAATACAGTAGCAAATTTATTTGACTTATTTATATTTATATAAACGTAGAAGTGACAGGAGGACTAAATTTGAGTTAAATAAACCAAATTGTAAGTAGTTTTATTCATTTGTAACTTTCGATGGATTCTACAATCTCATTTATCTTCTCGACTGTCCTTCAAATGTTCTACCAACGTCGTGCTTTAAATACACTGTCCGATAAGTGTTCCAATTTCGACGGCATGTTCTTTAACATATAACATACAAACACCTTTGTTTGTAGCGTCTATGACAATAGTAATTTACATTTTTCACAAAGACAATTACTTTTACAGATTACTTGATCTTTCAAAAAATCATTTTCTTTCTCCCCTGAAAGGTTATCAACAGACTGTAGGTACTGACATGCTATTTGATGGTTCTGTCAATTTTGAGAAGAAGAAGAAGAATGGTTCTCTTACTAATGATTAGTCGTTTTATTGTTAACTGAATTTTAAACGTTTTTAAGAGTCATTACTGTACATTCGTTAGTTTACAATACGTCTTGTGTAATTCATAGTGATAACATTCAGTCTCTATCCAGTCTCTCTCTCAATTTAAAAAGAACATAATTAAAAATACCAGTAAATTGATACTAAATCAATATCAGGGATAACGATTTAGAAAACACCACTTATTTCTATGGATATAGTATTACATTTTTATCTGAATGTACAATATAGGTAGTATACTATGTATTAAAATTATTATTATTATTATTATTTTAACACATAGATATCGGTACAAGAAGGCACCGAATACATATGCGCCACACAGATCTCATTGGATATGTGTGAGGGCTGTGATACTGACCGGGTGCCCAAACCGAAGCAGGTGGTTTTCTTAGGGGCCACACCCCGAGCCTTTGACCTGAAGATCTGATCCACAAGGCAGTGGAGCATCGTGAGGAGATGCAGTGCCATGATAGCCGGTGACCGACGATTGGTTCATACGCCATTTGTTCCTTCAGGATACTGAAGCCCATGTGCATCATTGATTTGGGGTCCGGTTATAGCGCCGGACATTCGCTTTTCGTCCTCTCATTTTCGTAAACAACACCGGTGCTACGAGAAAGCAGTGAGTAGGACTTCCCTGGCAGGGGCTGTATACGCGTGGCCATGTGAGAGCATTTCGAGAGGAGGAGCGGACTCCCCCCACTCTCGGCCATACCAGGGCATTTGGGGGCATGTATTAAAATAAATGGTATCGGCTTATACCTTAACGT